AAGATTCATTTTCCTGGCGCGAAGCACCTGTCCTCGTTCTGATTATGCCAAAATTAGTTTCATCTTTCATTTTTTCCGTTTTACCTTCATTTGGCACGCCTTTTACAATTGTATGTTCATAACCCCTGAAATATAAATCGGACGCAGAGCGTATTAGTTCGGGAATCACCCATTTATGATTTTTTCGTTTGTGAAAGTATATCGCAAAAAAATGTTCTTCAACGTTCAAGAAATTTTGCTGAACTGTGTGCATTTAGTTTCTAGAGAAAATTCGGGGAAATTTTTTTTTTTTTGTATCAAAAATTGTCCCGAAATCTTCCAAGAAGGCTTTTTCCACAAAAATCGTCAACTCAGAATTTTTCTCCATTTCCATGCGAACTGATCGGGCTTCTTTTCTGTAAATCAATAGAATTGTTCGGACTTCCGCCGTCCAGCAAATAAATTTTTTCGCTTGAAAATTGACTCTTCGTGCCGTATACGCGATTATATTATTGCGTTTGGTTCGACTTCAAGGACTGCCAGAAATGTTCTCCTGATTCGCTTTTCACTTTTGATGGCATTTTTGGGTTAATTTGAAGCTCTTCGATCTTCCCAAATTTCGATAATTTTGTGCGCCCAGAAAAAAAGTTTTCCTATTCGCGTCACTATTAGAAATACTCTCCATTTAAATCACACAAATTTTCCGAAGAAAATTCATATTATTGAGCACCTTATGGGCGAATTTTGGATGAATATGTTACCTGTATTTGGAAGATCTAATCATTTTATGCTTACGATTTCGTCCTTGAAAATGTTGAAATTTTCCAAGTTTTTGAATAATTGTGATGATTATGGTTTCGTCCTTGAAATTATTCAAGTACAGTATTTATTAGTCGTCCCCAGTAAAAAATAATCAAGGCACACAAAATTTGAGTGAAATACTTTCTCAAACCTTCACATAGCATGAATGTCACTCCCGTGAGTATCGCAAACCCGTAAAATTTTGGAGTCCGTGTCGGACAACCTTTGAGTATGTCTTGTCGAAAAAAAGAATCCTACTGTGTTCCGAAAAATGATCAACCGCGGATCTTCGCTGAATTTGAGAATCACATTCGGTAGGATCTCTGCATTTTTCGTATTTTCGAAGCCGGCGTCTGCTAACAAAGTAAAAGAACTTGAGAACATAACTGATCGTTCGCGACGATAATATAATTTTAATCGTGGTTCTGCCTGAATCGCTAAAATTCCCACCGCCATTTTTGCTCGAGATGTCAGCCGGGTAATGGGGAGAATATTGTCCATTACTCGTTTCAGTGTAATATAGTTTTACTTTATCGCGGGAAGATCTAGTGTAAGCAAGTAAGCTACCGTGTTGGACGATGGAATAAAAAGTGTGCTGGATATCTTTCACACCTGTTGCTGAATTGAATTTAGTTTGTGGTGATTTTCGACGCTTGAGTGTGAAGGAAGTTCAGATAAAAGCGAAGGTTCAGATACAATTGATCGTGATTCCTGGTCGTAGTAGCGCGTGGATGCGGAAAGATACAGGTATCAAAACACCTGCATGATCTTATCTCCCTACCAAAAAAATTGTTTAGTTGTTACACACTTGTAAATCGGGACGCTATTTTAGGTTTGTGATATTCACGAAAGCGGATATTCATGCTAATATTTGTGTAAGTCTGTGCCGTTTTGAGAAAGTACTTCATTCGTATTTTGGATGCCCTAATTGTTCTGGACTGAAAACTAGTCATAAAAATTGAATAATTTCCACTACGAAGCATTAGGATGAAGCGTATTCATCCAAATTATGTCTAAAAAGTTTTCAGTAATATGCAGCTGTGAATAGATAATCGAATAAATGGGATTAACCCGGACTCCCTATTATTACCTGATTTAAAATTTAAACTTCGAAATTACCTTTTATTATTTTCAGCGTTTCCGGAAGATGGTGAACTTCACTTCGACATTTTCCATAGTTCGAATTTTTTCAAGGCTTGCTTTGTTCTTGTCAGTTTGCTATGTACATTACTTATGTGTATTACGAAGGATATTCTGAGCTACTCGTATAAAAACTAAACTTTTAAATAATTTTGAGTAAGTCTATTACGATGAAGCATGTTTAACCATGAGTAATTATTCGCGTTTATAGAATTACTGTAATGTATATGCTTGGATTAAAGTGTGTGAGTATTTCATTATGCTATCGTTGCGACTACGCTTGATAAAGTACTGCACAGTACTGTCCTTCCGAGTTTGCCCGTGGTGTTTGAGGGCCGTTCAAAGTGACAAATTCGTCAGAGTTCGCATTGTTTCGAACCAGAAATGAAATTCGTGAAAATAAATATATGTTTTAAAGTTCGACGGTTCGTCTGTTTGCTTCCGGTTGATGACTTCTTTCAAATTTGTGCCGATTTCGTGAAAATTGGCTCTTGTTGTCAGGGATCATCATTTGAGCAGCCTTCCGATTTCTCACGCTTTTGCGAAGAATGTGAGAAATTTGCGTTTAACCCCTCTCTTGTGCATTCGATAATTTTTATTTCATTTTCTGGAAATTAAAAAACTAATATTTCGACGCCTTGCCAATTATTTTTGATGATACTTAAGGAATTTGTTGCGAAGCATTTTTATTGCGCTCAGTCTTGATTTTTACCGATGTAAAAATTCAAAATTAGTTCATGCGAAAGTCAATGATCCGATTATTCGAACGATTGTCTGCATAATTTCGGGTCATGAAAGTAATATTTTCTTTTCATTCGATTTTGCTACCATGATTGATTGCGGACTGAAATGGCCGAGATTAAATTGTCCGTTACTCTTTTTTGTGTGCATAATTTCAGAGGTTATCATTTTTGACCATCATCTTTGAAGTCTCTGCAATAAGGGAGAATCCCAAAGCTTATGCCGCTGTGCCTCGGGAATTTTCATTGGCTTTCATGAGAATATTGAAGTGTCAGAAATTGTGCGATACCGTATTCACTCGACCACCGCACGCACCTTTTTTCTTATTGAGAGGGAAAAAAAGGGGGTGCACGTCATACGCGGGTATAACTTTCGTTAAGTACATGTTCGATGTTTATGTATGCGTTATACTCCATTCTAATGGAGATGTAGATCAATTTCATCAGAAAAATTCATTTTAAAGGGAAAAAATTGAAATTTGGTTCAATTCCTGTCTAAATTCAAATTTGGCTTATTTGGGCGCTTTTTTCCAAAATATTGTAGTTTTTTAGAGTCGCTAAAAATGATGTGCGTGTGGTACTCCAGTAAATACTTGTGCGGTAATTTCAAGTTGAAAAAAATTTTGGAGTGAAACAATGGTCGGAAGGGATTGTCAATTGTGTGTCAAGAGGCTAAATACATTTATTCATATTGGTGGGGGGAAAGGCCTGATCAGTAGCAGGTGTTTTGAACTAATGATTCACTGTTTCTGGACTGAGACGCCCCTCGGATTTCCAAAAGCGTGTCGACGAAGCTTTTGAAGAAGGCCTTGTTTACAAATTCTCTCTGTAAAGTCAGTTTTACAGCGGTAGGCATTCCCGTTGAAAAGAACAACGGGGTTAGAATGAACCCCGGTTTGTATAATTCTGGATGGAGACGCAGTCATGAATATTACAGGATAAGCACGTGTTGCTCGTCTCCCCCTCCGAGTCCATGGAATTCGGTTTTATGTATGAGATCAGTCTGGTTTCCGCGTGTACGGGAACAGAACCTTCACGTCGAGTTTCGTTGTTTGCGTTCATATGGTTCACGGACACTTAAAACTAATCGGATGACTTCTGAGTCGATCCGGTTCGGTTTTTCTGCGTGAAATCGTGCACGTGGGGATTTTAATCTTTGTCTTTCCATAGCTGGCTTCATGCAAGTTTTGGTCTTACTAGACTGTAATATACTGTAGTCGATCCTCGCATAACGAAACTAATACATTCCTCGGTCAGTTCCATTGTGTGAAACCTGTTTAACCGTAAGATTGAATCGTAATTGATTCAATTGGTTCCAGCCACTCACCAAAATACAATAATAGGTTATAAAATTTGTATATTTTTCAGAAGACAATTTTAAATTTAATATTTTTAGCATGAAATTTAAGTTGTTCTTTTGCTCCAAACTTTCTAACTTTAAAAATATTTAAAATGCAGGAAGATGCAAAGCTACACTCCTCTTTTTAAATGCCCCCAAATTTTGGAAAAATGAAATTAAAATGAAATGCGATCAAATTTAAGTTTTTTTTGCCGAAGAATGTCATTATGTAAACAATTTTATTATGTGAGTCCCTTTTTCCCCATAAGAATTTTTTGTTGCTTGGGTTTTTTGTTATGCGGGGACTCACTGTACTGTACTAAGAATTCCGAGGGAGGGACAGTCCGAAGTGTTGTCAGTGCGTTGAAGTGAAGTTTCAATACTTTTGAAAGTTTCAAAGTATCCTTTTTTCCCGCCAGAATGTTCGAAAGAATTTTGTAAGTAACGAAGTGATGTGCAGCAAGCCTCTGTTCATTTGCTACCAATCTTGAATTATAACTTTCATTTTTTGGACTTCTAGGATGACCTTCACGCCTAGCATCACTCACACAAAAATGAAAAGTTCAGACTTTTTAAAATTAAAAAGGAATTGGGTGTATACATTTTTCGCTGTAATTGTTTTAGTTTTAACACATCGTTAGACCATCTGAAAATTGGAAAAACATGCAAGTGTCTCACATGTGTAAATGACAGTTAGTGTTGTCATCAAAATCGGTCGATACTAATTCCTCCACGTTTCGAAAAGTTGACTTATCCGTGGAAATATTGTACCGTTCACCATTTGGATGGTCGGCATTCTTTGTTCGCTACATTCTGTGTTTGAATGTTGACTTTTACACGTTTGCTTAAACTATGCGTATACTGTACAGGGTATGTCATCGAATGATGCGTCATCATTCGCACTTGGAAATTTTTGTCCTGGTTCGAAAGTATCATTGTCAGCTGATGTGCTGAAAATTGACGTCGGTTTTCTTTTTCTGCTTTGCCTTTTATTTTCGCAGTTCTGTGCGGGAATCGCGTAAGCCAAATGACCAGGGTTTACCATGATATACAAGCGGTCACGAAGTTGCTTGAAGAGGTGTGTTGTTACTGAGTTTCGAAAGTGAGACATTGTTTCCTCTGGAACTCGGGAATTTAAATTCTTCTCTCTTTTCCCCGCCATTGTTTTATTACAGAAAGAAAAGGATTTGGAGCTTGCTGCGCAAATTGGACAGCAGCTCCTGGGACGCAATCGAGCGCTCGAGGAAAAAATTGGCTCGTTGGAGACCGAGTTGAGTGCTACTTCAGAAACCGTGGTAGAACTCAGACATCAGGTTCAGATAAAGAGCAATCTTTTAGAATTGTACTCGATGTCGGACGTTGACACGGATTCCGAAATCGGTGAGTCAACTTTCCAGAATTGCAACCTGGTTTATTTTCTTAAAAGTTGGCGAGTTAAATTTATTGAGGTTTCTACTGCTTCTGGAATCCTCGTCATTGTAATTTAGATGATCCGTTTTTTGAATTCCCTTTTCTTCCGTTTCTGTTGAAGCTGAATAACAGAAGATTTCCCAAGGTTTTTGGGAAGAAGTAATACTGAATAAACTATCTCAATGGTAGGTGATACTGTAATTTTCTCCACATTCAATCTCTTTTCAATGCAATTGTCGCATATATCGCGCGAACAGTGGATGTACAATGCTTTAAACTTTTCCTGGTTTGAAAGTTGCGATTGTTATGGCGGTGAAAGGATGGCTGATGAATGTTGTAGGCTCCGGACAACCGGCTGCCGTCAAAGATCCGGAAATCATCTTACAGCAAAAGGTGAAGTCATTGGAGGAAGAGAACTCGAGCTTGAAAGTAGAAGCTGAGACGCTGCAGTCACAGACGAACACCATGGAAGAGCATGAGCGGCAGTTGCATGATGAAATGTTCAAGCAGCTCAGTGAGTTTTGTATTTCCCGAAAGGCTTTCCTTTCTAGACTTTCGGTGGATTTTGGAGTAAGGAAAAATTATTGCCGATTTTCAGATTTTGATGTGGGATGGCCTCCTTTTCGCGCTTAGTATCTTTCCTTTCCAGACTTTCTCGCGAATTTAAATGAAGTGATTTTCGAATTGAATTTTCTTGAACATGACCGTATAAAATTATTGTTTTCGGAAATGAGTCATTTTCATGCAAGGAATACTTCTAATGCAGTGAAATAGATGTTCTTAGAATATCCAAGATGACCCTTGTGGTAGAGAACACAGGTCTCCGTAATTTGATAATGATCTCACATTGCAGTCGGTCTTGTTCTATTTCTTTCTCTGCGATGATCCTTTTACAATAGATTTTGAAGTTAACGTAACTGCCCAGAAGAATAGCCGGAAACAGAAATGGTTTTGAGTGAATTACGGTCAAACTGAATAGATTTTTATGGGAAAATAGATTTTTATGGAATTTTTATTATTGGAAACAAATTTATTCAGACGAATTGCATATTCATGCAACTTTCAGTTATGATGGGTGAACCTCATTTCAGTGCACTTTCAATTCTTATTTCTTGTAAAATCAAAACAGCGTGATGAAAAAAATAAATGCAAGGTTTAAGGAATGATAGAATTTGAAAATTGCATCGTCAAATTGAATAGTTTTCCAGAACGTTTTTATCCATTGAACTAGACGAACATTGCCAAAGCTATTGAACCAATCCTCGTAAATTGGAAACTGCAACCGATAAATTATTATTTTTGCATGGGCGGCATGAACAATAAACTTCCTACTGGAACTCGTCGCGATTTCTTTCTGGTTGTTCTTTGCAGGTGATGCCTTTTCACAAAGCAGATGTCTTTCCGAAGAACTTGCTTCGAAGGTCGAGGAAAATATTCTACTCCAGGAAGAAATTACGTCGCTTCTCGCGCAGCTGGTCACGAGTCAAGCCAAGAATCGTTCGGTATGTGAAAATTTGTGTCACATACCATTTGTAGAAATGAAGCGTCCGAGTTCTAAATGCTTTCTCAATTTTCGTTGGTTGAGCAACATTGTCCAGCCATTCCGTGTCATAAAGCTTCCAATTTCCCTCAGATAAGCTTCAGATTTCGTAAGCGAGAAGGCTCGCTTTCTTTAGTCTTACAAAGTCGCCGATTGCCTCGTGGAAAGCCCGATTGTCTCGCGTGGGATTTTATTATTTCGCAAAGAAATTTTACTGAAGCTTCTTGACACATTTTTTGGATGTTCGTCTCTAGATGCAGACAGAAGTTGACGACCTGACGTTTATGCTGGACTCCGCGAAAGAAACCCAAACTGAGCTAACTACCGAGCTTGCTGACCTGAAGGACAAATACTCAGAGGTGCTGGAATTGTTGCATGATACCCAGGAGCAAGTGCGACGATTTGAACGAAATTCTTCTGGCGGGATGGTTAATGCATGGGAACCATCCGCGGCGATTTTGCCATGGCAAACTGACCCGTTCGGATCGACCTTTACTCACGAATTATCCGCTGCGTCTTTGGCTGCTGAGATTGAGGAATCGCTAGCAGCCGAAGTTCATGAGGAGTGTCAGCAAAAAATGTGGGTTTATTCCCGTTTTTACTTCAGGGTTTCAAAAAAAAATTTTTTTTGCTGTAAAAATGAGCTGCTGTATTCACATTGAGTGAAGTAACTGTAATCAGGTTTCTATCGTGGTAAGGATTGCGTGACTTTTTAGCCCTTCGTCACGGCATGTTTTCGTTATTTCCATATTCCATTGCTTCTTTGAAGAAAATATTTTTGGTCAAATATTAATTATTTTACTGCTGTAATAAATGAGCTACTTGTATCGAAATTAAATTGATTGACAGTAATGAGATTTCTGTCGTGGGAAAAATTTCCCGATTTTTTAAGCTTTTGTCAGGACGCGTTTTCGTAATTTCCGTATTCGATTGCTTCTTCATAGAAAAAGTTTCTGTATTTGGTCGGATTGGTTTCACTTGTAATCACAGTTCATATTGAATCTCAGTAAAGTTCTGGAAACCAGAGTTTCATGTTATCAGTTTTGTCGCCATCCCTGTAAATTTTTCCCTAGACCTCGGTCTCGAAGTTTTTTTTTTTTTTTTTCTAGTACCGTAAGCCTGTTCCAACGTGTAAAATTGAGAAACGAACGCCGCGTTGTCACTCTACAGGTCGGACGCCATTCAGAAAGTGTTCAGCACGTACAAAGCAGCTAACCAAAGTAAAGGAAGCTTCCTATCGAACGGCGAGTCATTTGGCGGCTTGGGACAATCGATCTCGCAGCCAAACGCATTGCTCGACAACTTGCGTCTCCCCACATTCGTCTCGCCGGTCAAGACGAGTGCCAGCACAGGGGACACCACGTACCTCAGCTCCGGCTTGCCGAAAGGCGGCATTATCCCGTCTCTCGGCTGTGATTCCGCCTGGCACAGTGACACAGATGTTTTGTCCTCGGACGAAGCCGCCGTTTCGGACGATATTTACGCGTGAGTGAAATGGCGTGGAATTTCAGCTTCTTCGTGGGTTAGACTTCTTTGGATCACCGATTCATGGGGGATAGAAAGATTTTCTGCTGGCATGACCGGGGAGAACACTTCGAGAAGTTTGAGTTAGTAAAATAAGGTATCCAGAAGTACTTTATGCGGTTTTTTAGTTCAGAAATTTCTCGTTAGACTCCGTGTAAATTATTTCACCAGGTATCCGCTTACTTCATAACTTTTTGCAGTTCAATTTTTGGTTCAATAATTTGTTCTACCTTCGATTTAATTCCGCATATGGCGAGTAAAAATTAATGAAACATGTCCTTTCAAGAAACTGTAGCGAGTGCAAAAATTCAAATTTGCGTTCTGTACTCAGTTCGGTTTTACCCAGTGCCGCTGAAATTATGAAACCAAATCGAGATGTACGATCCTTTTTGAGAAATCTTGTCTATAAATTTTTTTAATCGTCCAAGAATATAATTTGAAATCGAGCATTTTTCATCATAATCCAATTCGGCAGTCAACTGCCATAGAACGAGGAACCTTTTTTTATGGCTATGTGGACACGCATCTGAGCCGCACCAGTTGAGTAGTACCCTAATGTTAATCTTGAAGAAATCATGCCCTCGGACCGAGTTAACCGGCGTTAATTAGAGAGCCGTGAAGCGGGCGTCAGATTTTCTCATGGTTTCTGAAAAATGGACTCTCGTTTACAACATCTGGCTGCCTGGGAATTCTCGAGCTATGCTTTCGGAACTTGTACTATATTTTCTCGAGATGTACGATCCTAGAAAGGGGGAATGGCATGTCTGCGTTTTTGGGTGATGTGGAACAATGACTAGTTGTCTCTGAATTGATAGATGTTTTCTTTTTTTATATTCCGGGAAAGAGCTTCAGGCAATTCTTTCATCCGTCGTTCGTGCAGTATTCGTTACTTTTCGACATTAAAGGAAGTCGACTTGTTCTTACTAATATTGATTAAATACTTTTTATAAGGATTTTTTAATTTTCCCATATTCGATGAAGCCTGACTGCATTTTCTGTGCCCTATGGCCTATGACCTGTCGGATTTGAAATCCGAAGTTTTGTTGACTTATTTTAGTTGATTAATTTATTTCATTCTGGCTGTTTTTCGTTTTTCGACATAATAAGAATTTTTTAAATGAAGTACGTTTATCCTTCCGAAAACAATTTTCTTGGGCAAGGAAGTTGATGAATGTTGTATTTCATTTTTAGAGCGACTAGTTGCGTTGGTGTTCCTGGTTACCCTGGTTCGAAGGACTTGAAAACTGCGCTACAAAAGCTCAATCCGGCGGTAAGTTCAATTCTTTTTTGTAATTTTTAATTGTGCGATTACCACAGTAGTAGTACGAATTTCTGTCCGAGGGCATTTTATGACAATGTTTTGATGTGTCAAATATCATAAATGTGTCACATGAAGTATTAATTTTCTTTATTACGTTTTCATCTGTCTGTAGGCTATTTATGAGCAACGGAAACTGCACTCAGATTCCGGAGAGGATGACGGGTTTCTGTCCGACGCGGACACAGGAATGGGGCAAAGCATGTGTTCCAGCCGATTTGCTGGGCTCTCTTTCAGTGGAAGTTCACATCGTGGTCCGAACAGTTATCCTTATTATCAAGCAAACTCTCGAAGAACTCCCGATTCTCTCATGAGTACAGGGCAGAGTCACGGCCATAGCATGACCTATCGTCCGTGGCAAATGCCAGAAAAGCTACAGGTTAGTTTTTAGTTATTTATCCTAAGCCCGCAAATAAAGTTCCTCAGTATTATTTGCAAGGTGCTTGCTTCGATTTTGTTATTTATTATTTTAGCGTTGTATTTTCTTCGGGAATAAAGATTTTATTTTTGCGTTATCGAGGAAAATATCCATTTTTATAATTATTTGTGCAAGTGATGCAAATTGAAGTAGGGTTAAATTTCCGAAATGGAGTGTTTTTGCAACAACAACAAAATTGCTAACTCGTGCTTGTTCTTTTTTTTCAATAGTTGGTGAAACCTATGAAAGGGTCAGTGATGTTGCACAATTGGGCCCAAATGGCTGTGCCGCACATGGGCCGAGTTCTAGAAAAGGAAGTCGGCGTTGCACACAAAGCGTTGTTATTCCAAGCACCTGTTACGAGGCAAACGAGTTCGGAAACTGTTGTTACATTTTCTTCCGCTTCCAACGAACCCGGCGTTGGTCTCGGTTCCCTTTTTGATGCCCCTCCAGCTGCTGCTGCTGCAGTGGCATTTTCGCCTGTTAAGCGGACTTCCGAGTCAAAGACTAAGACTGCATTTCCAGAGTTTATGGACTTCGGTGGATTTCCTGGGAGGAGTTTTGAACCAACCCATGGAACCTACAAATACATCTACTCCCATATTATGCATCCTGACGAGAATACGCAGGTTACTCCCAGGTGTGAAAACTAGCTGATGGTCGAATTAACGCTACGCGAGGGTTTTTATTTTCCATAAATGTTCCGCCTTGCTAATGAAAAAAAATTGTCCGCCGTAATCGTACACGTTTTGCAATGTTCAACAGGATTTTCATACATTTATATGCTCTTTTCAAATCAGTAAGACATCTATTCTGTTGTGGAGCGGCTCATTAAAAATTTCATAAATCTTTCTCAGGCGCTCCTCTTTCAGCTTAGGAAGCTACCAAATACTGCGGTACGGATGGAAAAGTCTGTACAGTACAGTAAAAGGAAGAATGTATGCCAAAGTTGTTAACGATTTTTTTCCGTTTGTTAGTTTCATTTTCATGGGGTCAAAAAACTCACACTGAATACAAAATTTTACTTCAAATCGATAACAAAAACAACTTTTCCACAATGAAGTGATATTCCAGGTTTACCAAGAATTTTTCAAAATTTCCAACTCTTTTTTTTTGATGATTCAATCCGGATTTTTTTTTCATTTGCTGTACTGCACAGCTGCAATCTCAGTACATTTTTTCTTTAGTTTTTTACGAATCTTTTTTTTTATACTAGTTTATAAAAAATTTTTAAAATAAGTCTAAAACTTCGGAGGTTTTAATCTATTCAAGATTATAGCATTGAACAAGTCTGGAGAATTTTGAAATGCTCTCACATATCTTAAACTGCCTTCGGCTTCTAAAGATCTTCAGCGCAATTTTTTTTTTTCACAGCTTGCAAAGTGCTCACATGACGGTTATAGATATTGGAACCCCATTGATGACACCTGGAGGTTCGAGATCGCACAGTCGTCGCCCGAGTACATGTACTTTCAGCACAAATCTTGGAATTGCCCGGGTTCTGAAAGAACGTGGGTTCGAAAACGAGCCGTCGAGGCCTGGGTCGTTGTGTTGCACTCCTCCACGACCTGCTTCTCCATCTTTGTTGTCCACGCCTTGCAATTCGCCCACTCACCACTCTCCCGAACGAGAAGGTACAAAATCTGGATCAGGTTTGCAAGAAGACCTGTGGGAAGGTGAGTTCTATGGCTTCTCTTTATTGATAAACTTGTGCAGATCACTTGTACAGTAATGATATTTTCTTTGTTCATACAAAATGCCTTTTCGGCAGGCGCGTCGCCTTTCAGATCTAAGTTTGAAGCAGAGGGGAATCGCTTCCGTTCTGTCTTGATTTTTAAAATCGAGTCTGCTGGACTAGGCGTTCATTTGCAAGTTAATCCTATTATCGTTATATTCTTTTACGAAAATTTAAATATTCTCGGGGTTTTCTCGTACAGGCTTGGTGTCGTTGTCGAGAAAGGGAGCCGCTCTGTTCCGGAGAACGCTCGGCGGAGATTCCAAGGACAGTGTTTCGGAATCTCGTGATTTGAGGCGACGAGATTCAACTCGTCGGTCGAAGAGAGCTGACAAGACACGTCAAAGAACTCGATCAAAAATTGATCCGGCGGACATTCTCAGCGCCCGACAAGCAACACAAGCTAAAAGCAGAAACGAGCTCAACGCTGGTCAATTATCGGAAATCGCTTCCCGCGGCACGCTCATGACCATGCACATGCTGCCCTCAATCGGCGGACATTTTCTTTTCCCGAGAAAAGAAATGATCAGCCCCATGGCGCAGCTCGCATCCATTACGCGCGACGCAATGGCTCCTTCGCTTCAGAAAATGGCCCTCGGCTCAAGTCCCACCTCTGTGAAATCAAGAATCGCGGAAGCTGACGAAGAAGATCCTGAGACAGAGGTGAAAAAGAGTGAAGTTAAAAAGTTTTTCGGGATTCCTCGAAAGCCGTCGTCTGCTTTTGGTATCCCGGTCCAGCCAAAGCCTGGTGCTTTGGCAGATAGACTTCATGGCACGAATGTTCGCCCTGATTTAGGGAAAGTGGGCACCGGAAAGAGACGCCCAATGCCGGCACCCAGTTCTCCGAATCACAAAGAAGAAGAAATGGGTGCTTTGTCGTTTCTTACATTCGGGCGTAAAGGTGGGCTTTTCTAGAAATCTTTTTTTTTAAGGTGTATTACTTTTGTTATTTCGACGGATGCTTGGAATTGCTGAGTTCTTTGACGAGCTTGATTCAGCTCAACAGCACGCGTTCATGCACATTGACCGGCTATCTTGGTGCTTGAGAAATGAGTGAATCCTGTCTGATTTGAATTTTACTTTCTGTCTTCCTCGTCATCTTCTGCTTCCTGAATCATTCATTATACTGTACGGTACTCTACATTAATATACTGTAGTTGAATCGATGATAGCAGGAGTCATCTTTTCATTTGGAAGCTCTGCTGTAGACGAATCGTTTTATTGCCTTTTTTAATTTAAAACTTTTTTCTCGAAGCCTCTTTTTCCTGTGCCGGTTCATTCTAAAGTTCGTGCACAAAAATCCAAAAAGGGGCAACTTACATTGTTTCTCAAGCACTAGGATAAACATGTGGACGGATGGCTGCGTATGTTGTTATCGTGCCAGTAGGCATCCGAAACAGACTCCTGCTAGTCATTTTGTAATTCGAGTAATGAATTTCCCGTTTATCGTCTTTCAGATTCTTTCTCGTGAATGGGGAAGTGTTCATTCGTTGAAAGCGAAGCAGATTATTTCTCGTCGAAGCAGTTTAGGCTCTGTTACCTTCGTAGTCTGTGATAGTTTATCGGTTTCCCAAGGTTTTGATCGATCTTTTTTTCAGTATGTTCTTGGTCAACGTGAATCGGTTGTGTCATTCATCCATATCTATCGTGATTTGGTTTCGAGTTCGTGGGGGCTGAAGACACTCGTGTATGATCTGAATTCGTATTGTAGTGCAATTGTATGCAAGCTTACTGCTTGTTATCGCGTTGCTGTATTCTTGGTCTTTCGTGAAGGACATGTTTTCGGTACTTCAGAAGCTGTTGCGCAGCTTTAATCTGATTTACTAAAAGGTTCCTCTCAGAACTGTTCGACGTACGTAAGCGTGCAAAATTTCAAACGATGAAATTCGACATTTTTTAACGTTCGTCATCAAATGACTTCGGCTGTCGATAACGTTTCGTTTTGGTAAGTTTCTTCGTTGTCGATAATTTTCTTCAAGTTTCGTGATCGTAGATTATTTTCCTTGCCGGAATGGTTCGTTTATCTGTTTATTCTTACTGTATTTTTTCTGATTTTTTTATATGTCTCGGGATGGAGGGATTGGTGGGCGTTGACGGAAGTTCCTGTGCAGCAGCAGTTTTTATTGTTTGCAGTCACTTTGTCTGCTTGAAGTAGAAAGGAGTTGCTGTGACTGAATCGTCATGAGCCTCATCATTCTTTTTATTTTTGAAGTCTGGGGGATATTGAAGGATTGAATGGGGCGACATTTCCGAGGGTTCTTTTGCCGATTGTGTGTGAATTGAAATGACGACGACGATGAAAATTGTGCGATTGTTCGGTGATAAATGAAGGCGTAGTTCGCGCTGAGCACCATGACCGGTGCAGTAAGAAAGCATTTCATTTTTTTATCTGCTTAAATTATATCCGGGTACCATTATACCGTATTTTACCGTCCCCTATAGTACCTATACTACTGTACTGTACAGCAAGTCCCTGTCTGGATTCTTTCAGAAACGATGCAATGAAAACCTCTAACTCAAAGCCTTTTTCTCTCAAATCTCTGTAAATTGATTTTTCTGAGGCTTTTATCATTATTTCCTTGAAATATGAAAGAGGAAATCAATAAAACAAATGAACCCCTTTGTCCAAGTTCAGCAAGCTGTAAACTCATTAAGAAGCAAGTTCAGGCCCTGAATATCCTGATTTATGATTTCCTGCAATCTGGGCAGCAAAAATGATTGCTTCCTCAACTCAAAACCTCATTAAGTCAAATTAGTTTCTTGGTCCCTAAAAATTCAACTTGGAGAGGTTCAACTGTATTATTGTAATTTAGGCATTCATGCAAGTCTTGGAATATTTTGAATATTATGTCATGGGAAGTATTGCTAGATTTTGGAAACTCTCAGGATGGGCTGAGGAAGTATGCTCAGCTGTTATAAAATATGCGGTGCATTTAAATCTTATGAAGCAATTGTATCATATGATTCCTGAACAACATTTGTTTTGCGTTTACTGAGGGATCAAGTTTGCACTGTTCTATCAAACTGGCATAGAAGTAAAATAATGTAATTTGATTTAGATGCATCACTCAATAAATTATTATTGAATACATTATTATTGTTACATTTGTTGCTACTAGTTTTTAACCTCCATGCTATGAGCCCAATAATGCTTCTGATGAATTTAAATATGCGTTTCCAAATTTCCAGATGTCATTCAGCAATACTGAACTGTCTTGGCATGTACAAAAGTATACACTGTAAGGTGCACCCAGCTAATTCAATCCTGTTTTTTTTTTTAATGAGGCTTTGAAAATGCAGTATAACTAAGTCAACCTTGGTGAGATAAATGCCTCTCCATTGGATCATCAGCATAGGTAGTGTTCATGTAGTTCAGTCAATCCCTTGTTAATAAACCTGATTGGTTCCAGACAGAACTGTACATTTGGTCCAATGTATGGTCTGTAACTTGTCCTAGAGGATAGCCTTTTTGCCTGGATAGATTTTGGCGTCCTATACTATCGCTGTACAGTACTGTACATTTTAGTACAGAATTTATGTAAACTATCTCTAAATACAGCTCGTTCGTACGTTCGTGAGCTCTTGTGTAGTGTGCGGTATGCCTCCCTCGGAGTGACCGAGGAATCAAGTTATTGTATGGAGTTTTTTCCCTCTTTAGGTACGAATCGTGCGATGGAAAATAAGGAAATAAGTATAATCGATTCAGTTGATTTATCCACCTCGCTGTTGGGTCCGGTGGATAAATTTTACAAGCGTTTGTATGACCCGAAGAATGACCTGTGTTTCATGTTTCATTCCAACCGCGTGTGTGTAATCACTCTGTCCCGACATCATCCCCTGGTTGTTGAGAGATCTCCTATTTCGAAAGTGAGTCCTCCTGGTTTTTGTTGGGACGTTTGGCGTCGTGAAAAAACAGTCTGATCAACAGATCGACTTCCGGATAAACCACAGGACTGATCGTTCACTGAATAAAGTATCTGGGAAAGGGAAGAAAGGTGCTCAGATACTGGAAGAAAACTCAAGATTGTGCACCATACATACGGAAACCAAGGCTGTGGAACTGCGGGCTGGGATCAAAGGAAAACTGATTGAAGTGAATGAAAATCTGGTGAAAAATCCAGATCTTATTGTTACCCATCCGGAGGCCGAAGGGTTTATTGCCATTGCGATGCCTGTTCATTTGGGGTCCGATCTCACGGATAAAGGTCGACTCCTGGACTGGTTGGAGTACGATAAACTGAAGTCTGGATCTTAGTAAAAGTAGATTGGATTGTTGAATCCTTTATTTTGACTTTTACAGCTTCGAAACATCTTTCACGCTTTTTCTTCGAACTTGAAGTGAACATTTTTGTTTGTTTTTTTTTCAAAAACAAACCGCAGATCTGATACTCAACGAGAAATAAATAGCTCAAGTTCTGCCGTCTTGGTGGTGTTGGAATGCCGTAAACAAGCAGGTGATATCATAGTTGAAATTGTTTTCTACTTTTCCGGTTTTACTTTTTTCTTCTACCGTACTGTAGTATTCATTTTTGTGTTAAATTTCAGGTGTTGATATCATGGAACAAGCTGTTGATGGATACGCGGTGAAGCAGGAGCACGCTAGTTCTGTATGTGCAGTGGAACCGGAGCAAGCTGTTGCTAGTGCAGTGAAGCAGGAAGCCATTAATGTTCAAACTAAACTCGAAAAGCAAGTCGTAAAAACTGAGTTTTTGCAATCTTCGAATTCGGCCACTTCGTATGATCCATCGGTCCAATTACTTGTTGCCCATGCGACTCAACCGCACGATGATGGCGAGGATTTGCTTGATCTGCTGAATCGAGTGGAACCTGATGAAGGCGAAGATTCCGATTCAGGTATCGGTAATTTTTCAGGCAGGCAATCGGGAAAATCTAAGAAACGTCCTTCGAACGCGAGGGCTCCTTACAAATGGCAAAACCCGCGTTTGAAAAACTTCAGGTGAGAATTAATTTCAGGAGGCTTATTTCACGATTTCTCCGCCATATTTTTTCGTCTGACAGAATCCCGAAAAAAAGTCCTCAGGTCGATGTGACCTGCGAATTGCGGGAGGAGTCAGTCCATTCAGATGGGAAGTTTCGTCCTCTTTTCGGCAGTGGTAAAAATGTTGGTCGAGCATCGTATAAGCACTTGAAACCATTCGAATTACCGGAAGCCGGTATGTTTGCACAAACTGGCGATCGAACAAATTCGGAAGAAATGCAATTTTTGTAGAATTATTATTTTTTCCATCTTAATATTTTTTCTAGGGTTGGCATGCTGGGATCCTGCGTCCAAGATTCGGAGCTACTATTATTCCTTGATTCCGACATTTTTTTCGCAATTTTAATGCTTTGTACCAAGTTAATCATGTTGGTTCTCAATCTTTCGCCACAGGATTTGTGAATTCTATTAACGTGCGTGAAAATTGTGCGTCGTCATGCTGTTGACCGTGCAGCAGTTGTTAACGGATGCGCGAAACTTGAATACGCGTTTGGACCAAGATGATACAAAAATTACTGGGTTGGTTTCGAATGCAGAAGCTGTTTACTCTATCACCGATGCAATGAGAACGGTGCGTACACTAAAGGGTGCAGTAGAAAATCCCGTGGGAAAAAAATTCTGCGGCTCGAAAATCCCGTGTGGCAGACAATCTCGTAGGCCTGAACATTTCGTGGTGTACAAAATTACCGCAGAAACGAAAATCCCGTAACTTAATTTCATGCATGTAAAAATTCCCTTTGATTAAAACAAGAAGTGATGGTTTCTACACAATTTCTAACTTTTTGACAAAGGTTAATTGCAGTTTGATAGTGACATTCCATTCAATTAAATTTCTGAATATTCAACGTACATTTCTGACATTTTCTACTTCAGAACTGTGAAGAACATCAGGAAAGTAGACAGTTTATATTCAAAACAAATACAGGGATGAAGGCTACATCATTCTAAGACTTCCCCACCTTTCTCTTGAGAAAGTAATCGTAAAACTTCGAAAATTTTTTTGGGAAAACCCCCGTAATTTCGTAATCCATCGGATTTTCATTCCTTTGGCAACAGTTTGAAGGAAAACCCAGACTTCGAAAAATATACTATATTCTAGCTCTGGGATTTTTGTACCCGAGGAAGAGGGGGCGAGGACTCCTGAATGACACCCGTTCTGCCTCTTCGCTCTTCGCCGTGGTGTTTTTTTCCTGACACAGAAATTATAATTATTAAAGATTTAGATCATTATATTATATTGATTTCATTTTTATTTTTTTGACAGTATCATGAAGACATTGAAGAGTTGAATGAAGAAGCTCATCAAAGACCGCGAGTGCAACTTGTTGCTGGGATCCAGCAGGAAAATCGTCATATTCGCGAACTCCAGCGAGAAAACAGGGAGCTTCGCCAATCACTTGAAGAGCATCAAAATGCGTTGGACGCCATCATGTCAAAATATCGTGAACAAGTTTTAAAACTTTTGCAAGTCAACAAAGCTTACAAACCAACAAATACGGCTGTGCATGATCATTCCAAGGTCCGATTTGACCCCTTTTCTGTCTTGGAAGATTTTTCATCTATTCTTAAATTTTTAATTGATATCCTGGGCAGGTTATGGTGGAGAAGTATCACGATAAAATGAGGGAAATGCTACTTGTGATGAAGCAGGCAATGAAAGTTGACGACGAAAGCTTTCCGAAGCAACAAGAATTGATCGCTCGTTTGCTGACTGAGAACAAGGTGACTTTTTCAAGGATTACCATATCTACGCGATTATATACTCACGTGTTGTCCAAAATTAATGCTCAAAGAAATTCCAAGGGATTAAGCCCCAGATAAGCGAGGATATGCCGAAATGATTTAAAGCTGCAGTCAGCTTGAGGTGAAATTATCCGATTAAAAGCATGATCACTACCAGGAGAAAAGCAGGAGGCATTTTGCTGTTGTTTTATGTATTATTGCACACATTTTTGACCTAGCTCATGTAATCTGTGTCTTGTAAATCTGTTATGCTTCACTAGCCTGTGGTCGAAAATATTTATTTGTTTAATCAGGAAATGGGGGAATGTCCCAAAAGTTTAGCTGGAAAGCCGATCCACCCCCGCCTGCACTCTCCTTCCCGGCGACCTATCATTTTTTTGCTTTTTGGGGACGGCTATCTGTTTGTTAAATCATCTTAAAATAGATGAACCTATTTAATTTCAACTAATAATCCCTTCCCTCTCAGCCCCCAAATGAAGGTTTCATTGCAATAAAGAAGAAACCTAGATCAACGTAACATTAAACGAAGAACCTCACCCGAACGAAACTGAACTAAACTCGACTAACCTGCCCTAACCAAGAAACGAAACAATCCAGAAAAAAAAAAAATATAAAAATATATATATATTATATATATATATATTCTTTTTTGCTGAATTTTTCCTTCTTTATTGCGAAGAAACCTTCATTTGGAGGGCTGAGAGGGAAGGGATTATTGGTTGAAACTCCGTAACAATAGGAAAATTAAAATCGTGAGCTGAACTTGAATCCCTTCAAGTGTTCACTGTTGTTTTCAATCTGTATGTACCGTATTTTCCCCCTGTTGTCGTTGCCCAAATCAGGTAGCCGATATAATTGGGTAAAGGCATGTTTATGTTGCTTAGAAGGCTTTTTATCGCATTGTAAATCCTTGGATCTGAGAAAGCTTTTAAATTATGTACAGGATTATTGTTGATGTTACACATGTAAGAAGACACACAGAATTTCTGTTCTGGAAGGAAAACGTTCACATATTCGTAATTTTGGTTCTTTTAGTGATCAATAGACTGGTACAAACCTTTTTCTTTTTTTTTTTCAGACTTTGCGCGAGCTTTTGAACATTTCAGAAAGGAGTGGGACGCTTCCTCCAGGTTCCAAGAAACGCGCGTTATGGAGAGAAATGCAAACCCAGACGGACGCGGGAGACGTTAATTTGATCCCGGCGAAAGAAGCTGAACCTTGTCCTGCTTGTGGTCACGGAGCCCCTCATTCTTTGATGAACGAGTCACCATGCGTTAGTCCTCATTCTGCCCTCGACGTCAGCTTTGCCTCGAGTGACACTGGCAGTGTAGACACGGTTTTGTTGTCCCCGGGTCGAGCTGAAGCGTTACTGGATTCCTCTTCCTCCCCTGATACGCCTGACGAAAAATTGACGTCCACCGTAGCTGCTGACATTCTCATGTGATATAAATTTGCCCCCCCCCCCCCCCCCCCCCCCCCCCCCCCCTCCCTTGAGGTGNCCCCCCCCCCCCCCCCCCCCCCCCTGCTTTGAGGTGCGTTTTTCTTCAATAGTTCAGCCTTCGTAGATCACATGCGTATCTGAGGAAAATTACTGGATCAGGATGGATGGGTGATGATGCGATATTCATGCTTGAGCATGATTGTTCCAAAAATTATGTCCAGACGTCGGCAAAATCGCTCATCCCTATATTGTATGCGTTTGTGACGGAATCGGGTATCTAGCTTGGTGGGTTATGATGGCTGTACATGGTTTTTTGAAACGTTCGCACTTGCTCATTTTACGAATACTTTATCCTTCGCAAAAGCTGCGATTATCGCTTTGGTTATGCGACTGATGGAAGTATTCTAACGATATTTCTTCGATGTGGTGATGAAGTTTGACGAGCAATATTTGAATTTTCTCGAAGTATTATTTGCAGCAAGTAGAATTACCAACGAAATCGCACTATGATACCACTTGATTATGTTGCTTGCTTAATTCTAAGCAAAGCTGTATTTTGAGGATTTGCGGCGAACGTAACCCCACATGACGGTTACCTCGATGCTTCTAGAGTTTATATCAAGCACGTAATTTCGCCGTCTTCCAGTTCCTACTAATTTCGAATGCTGTAATTCTACTAAATTTAACTGAGATCCATTAGCCCTAATGATGAAGTGCAAGCATAAGTAGCGATCGAATCCCGACATAGTTTTGATCGGATCTGAGTTTTTAAATTTTTCACAAATGATGCTCGAGTCTTGTTCGCGTACTTCGTCATTCTCGTTTTGCGGAAAAAGGATATTTTTGTACTTTATCTAATTTTGGAACCTAAAACATTCACCTTGTGAAACATGGATTTAAAAAGAGAAAGCAATTCGTGCGAATATTTCTTGTCTGATTGCGTTTTGGTGAACTTACTGAAATATTTATCAAGTGTGTTTGCTTTGTTGATTCACCAAGCCGTGCAATGCGTATGGAAACGCATGTGATGTATCCTTTTAACCTGTAAATTGAATAAAACTGCCTCATGCTGTTGCTGGATGGCTAGTTCATTGCAGAATTTTATTTTTTGATTGTCTTTCATTTTTCTTCAAGGTTCTCGCGTCTATAGAAAGCAATGCACAGACCACCTGCTTTAATTGGCTCAATATGGTGGACAAAGTGAATCCAGAGTTGGGTCTGCTTCGTCTTTTAGATATGTGTAACGTTGTAAAGTTATCCTGGTTTCTAATACCGCTCTAGATCATCGATGTTTACATTTTCCCTCTTGCGTTTCTAATTTTGGCGGCATTTTGATCGAGTGTCGCTTGAAAATGATCAACAAATACCGCGGTTATTTTGCTTTGTTTGGTGGATTTATGATCCATCTGACGCTGGGAACTATTTATTCTTTCGGTGAGCGATTCTTGTTCTCTGTCTTGTACAATATTGCCTAGATCGGATTTTTTTTTAAGGAAATTTGACCACTTACATTACGTCTTATATCCGCCAACGGAATGATCCTACATTTACGTATGAACATGCAACGTGGATTTACACTGGAGCTGTGATGACCCAAGGGTTTCTCATGTTTGCTGGCGGACAGTTGGAGAAAAAAATAGGAGCCAGGTGGACTGCCTTCTGTGGGTGCTTACTATTCAGGTGCGACTGTTACTCGGGGAAATTACGTCGATCGCTGGGCGGGTGAAATTTCAAAACTTTTGATGCAACCCTCGTACATTCCCATTGTCTGCCATTTTTTCAGGTCTTTTCTTTTTCATTCAACAGCGGAGGGGTATTTTCAACGGCGTTTGCCATTGAAGTTGGATTCTGGCTGGTGGTGATTTCGTACGGTGTTCTATTCGGAGCCGGTGTGGCATTTGCTTACATAGTTCCGCTGTCATGCGGCATGAAGGTTTGTACATTTTTAGTTTTATTAATGGAAAATCGTATGCTAAGAAGCGCCAATTTTGGGTGTATATTATAATCACCAAGCCTTATTGAATGCTATTTCTCATTCAATTTTTTTGGACGCACTCCTGTAAGCTCAAAAAGTGGGAATAGAAAAGCAGGGGTGCTTCTCAAATTATAATTTTAATGGGTTCATAAGGATTTTCAAGTATCTGTCATGAAAGAAGCTAAACAAGGTGTTGTATTGCATTACAGTATTTTTATAAATTAATTGACTACCTTTCGTCAAAAAACGTTGATCAATGGTTACGTATCAACTTTCCTGTTCGCCTCTATTCAGTGGTTTCCAGAATCCAAAGGATTAGCCAATGGTGTGATTCTCGGTGGATTCGGATTGGGAGCATTCGTCTTTTCGTATTTACAAACGTGGTTCATCAACCCGGAAAATTTATCTGTTGCCACTTCAGGGTACGTGAATAGCGTGTCCAACCAAGATACGACAGTTTTTAAAATGCGAAAAAAATAATTTGAAGATACTTCGAGAACGATGAAATCCTGGATCGAGTTCCTCAGCTGTTCATGATATTGGGAGGCGTTTATTTCGTTCTGCAGTTGATTGGACTGATTTTCCTTTGTCCACCACAGACGCGGGATGTGAGTACAGTACAGGAGTAGACTGTGGCCATTGAATGGGATGATATGCATTCATACGTACGATTTTTGTGGCTTCAGATTTACGCCCGTTTACCATCGATCGACGAGGAAAAACGAGGAATTCTGGACGACGATAATTCTCCAAATCGGCGGCGGTCGAGCGTTCTGCCCATCGGAAGACAAGCATTCAACGATTTTAGTGGAAGTGGCGTCGTTGATATTGTTGGTAAGCGGGTGAATTCGAACGATGGTTTTAGTTTTCAGCTACACTTCTAAAGAGTTTACACAAATTTATAATTTACACTTCAAACGACTGCTTCTCTTGTTCCACCGTCATGGATTATTTCTGAATTACCACCCCTGAATCCTTCTTTTGCCTTCAAACTCAAAGCAACAAAAATCAAAAAATTATTATTAGACTCTCAATTCAAGAGGCAATATTCATCTGTGGTAATCGGTAGAAAATTGCGCAGTTTATATTCGAAGCAAATGCAAGGATTAAAGCGTCAGATGAAGGCTACATATTTCTCAGACTCCCTCTTGACCTTTCTCATGATGAGAAAGTAATCCTGATCTTTCGGAACGGTTGGAATGAAGACCCAAATACACACTCAAACAATTTTGTAATCCACGGGATTTTCGTACACCGCGAGGTTTTCAGATCTACCGGATTATCTGGATTTTCGAGTCGAGGATTTTTCCCTGCACGCGGTTGTCCTTGGTGGCGGTAAGGGGAGAGAGGATAGTTATTTGACGGAAATTGAGATGTGGCCCTAAGTTGTCGAGGATCCTTCATTCTTCTCCTTTTTTTCTTATTTACTATACTTCCTTTTTGAAACTATCCTAAGCCAAGTTAAAATATGTATACAAGTAATGCCAATAAAATCATGGCAATATAATATAAGGGGGGGAACCTTCACGACCGAAATTCCATTCGCTTGCCTTCTTGCTCTGCTTCAAGGAAATGATCTCAGCTTGAGTCCGGGATCAGCTCTGAAAACGAAGGAGTTCTACATGCTGTGGTTCACGCTTTTCTTCAACCAGCAGGCGATCGGATTCATCTCGACTATGTACAAAGCCTACGGGCAAACCTTCATCAAGGATGATCAGTTTCTTGCCCTTGTGGGAGGAATTGCTTCAATTTTTAACTCCCTCGGGAGAGTCATGTGGGGATATCTTGCGGATCGCACGTCCTATCGGGTTTGTTGGGAATTTAATTTTTTTTTTCTGGTCAAGGTTTATTCAAGTATTTTTTTTTTATTTTCAGCGAGCAATGTTGTTGATGTCGGGGTTATTGGCTGGATGGTTCTTCAGCTTCATTGCTACGCCACGTGGTGGAAAATACATGTTTGCGCTTTGGGTTTGCCTGATTTTTATGACGTTTTGTGGTAACTTCAGCTTGTTACCGACTGCCACGTCTCAGACCTTTGGTCCGATGCATGCTGCATCGATTTACGGATTGGTGTTCTCAGGCTCGGTGAGCAGTGATGACGAACGTAGTTTTCATCTGGGACCAGTTCATGTTTTGAGCTTTATGTTATAGGCGATCGGTCAACCGATTCAATCAATATTGACCGAAGCTCTCTCCAATATGGGTTGGTTCGGAGCCTTTTGTACTACAGCCGGATTTGTGCTTCTTAGTGAGTCAACTCCACTGACCGATTACTGTATTCATACGTTCAGCAAACGAACATTAACATTTTCAGGCGTTGTGATCACGTTTTGGTTTGAAGAATCGCCGAGTCCAGGGAAAACCAGGAAATGGCGTTGCAGATTGGTCAACCGATCCTACCTGTGAGCTATGTAAAAAAAAAGAGGGTATTTTTCCCGGTGCGTCATATATATATTTTTAGAGAATTTTTCCTTCGTATGAACAAAGTCGCGCAATCGGTGTCAAACCTAGGTGATACATGTAAGTCTTCTCATATCGTAATTTTTCCAATGAGTGTGTTCGTTTGTTCATGGCAGGTTTCTCGTTAGTTCATCCGTATTTTGTGTGGAAAAACTGGATTTTAATTCTTGTTGAACGATGCTTCTGAGTTTTGAGGGAATCTTTGTCGATATGCAGAAAATAAAGCATTGTCTCTTATGGAAAATGGAGGTTTTCATTGTTCATTTTATTTATGTCGGGATTTATTTAGGCTGAAAGAATATAATCCCTGCTTTGATCATAGTTTCATCCTTTAAATCCAGGAGAGTCCTCGTAAAAAAAAGTTAGTCCTCAGTTCAGTGTCACAAATTTTGTACTCATGACATGCAGCATGAGTCACAACTGGACAGTATGAAAAATATCTTTTTGATTTTTTATACTCGTGTGTATTTGAAATTGTTTTGATAAGCCAAAACAATTCTCTCCGACTTCGTTAGGATTAAAAAGAATGGCAATTTCACACTTATACTGCTTACTGAATGATGAAAGTTCGTAACAATTTTGAGACCTGTGATAGATGTTTGGAAATGATGTATTCATGCATACGATGTTGGACAAACTTCTAAAGCAAATTCAGCATCTCATGTGAGAATCCTGCCAAATGCCATATTTTACTGTGGTTATTCGTGTAAACGTATTTTCGTCAGGGGAAATCTTCCACAAAAGAAGGGTGAGCTGCTGTACTGACAATTTTGTGAGAATTGCTAGAACTCTTCAAAATTTTCTCCACGGAACACTGGTGGGTAAATTGGAGTGGGGTATACAAAATTTCATGAATTGTACCATACAGTACTTGAAGATGTTCGACGTGTCTTACTACTCTTACAAGCACAAAAATGTCATTTAAATTTGATGATCAATTGACGGGATGCTTGTGACATCTACTTGGCTTACAGCTAAATAAGGGACCTCAGTGTATCAGTGGTTCGCCGGGTGGGGGCAGTACGAAAATCCGGGTAGCTGCAACTGACCAAGGCCGTCCGATTTCTGCTGTGTTCATGGGTGACCAGACATTATGGTACACTTTCAAACTCGACGCAACTCATTTCCACGCTGCCCCTCCAGAGGGCTATTCCCTACCACTCCATCCCTCAACACCAAAAATGAGTGACTTCATGAACTGCGCATGCTTGCAGATACGAATTACATGTTGAAGAATTGTGTAGGAGTAGGAAGATAACGTAATATTCAATACAGTACTTTCCTGTTATCTCTGTACCTCATTCCTAGACTGCACTACCATCCAGACAAATCTTTAGGACAAGTTCATAATCACAAGAACCTACCAGAAACTGTGAATTTTATTTTCTGCATTCTGCTGAAACTGATCAGGTTATGTTATTTACAAATATATTTTAATTAACATAACCTGACCTAACCTAACTTTACCTAACTGCCTCCTAAATATCAAATATCTTTAATTAACATAACCTGACCTAACCTAACTTTACCTAACCGCCTCCCAAAATCAGTTTCAGCAGAATGCAGAAAAATAAAATTCACATCTGTTGTGTTTATGAATTTGTCCTAAAGATTTGTCTGGATGGTATAGTGTGGTCTAGAAATGAGGTACAGAGATAACAGGAAAGTACCATATATTTTATTTATTTTAAAAAGGTGTTTTTATATGTGCACTATGTTATTTGTCCCTTGGAGTCTCTGTTTACATTTTACACCACCAAGCATTGCAGTTGAAGTCACTCAATGAGAGGCTGGCGCTCTTAGGGGTGGCGTGGAAGAGGTAGCGTTGAATGGAGCTGCGTTGAGTGGAAGTTGTACCATAACGTCGCGTCACGGTGTTCATGGTGATCTTGAGATTTAGTGAGTCCAACTTAGAATTCAGTCATCAGTTTCTGCTTGAGTGGAGAAGAGTTTTACAGTTCACCATTACGGCCAGAAATTGCCAGTGATTAGGCATGATGATAGCACAGTCAATCTTAATTATTGTGCTGATTATCGCAGTATTTCCTGCTGCTGGAAGTATCCTTTCGACTGGTGAAATACAAGGTACGAACGTATTGCACATCATTTTTCGGATTAGTTCATGGCGGAGAGGCCCTTACGGGGGTTTATTTTTAGTCGGGAGAACGAGGAGGGAAAACGCTCCGAATTCCCTCGGACCTTGCGATTCCCCTCCACGTAACCCGACGACCGACCCTTCTCAACCTGGGGAATGCATTCCCATATCTGGCTGTCCGGAACTGGTGAAGAATCTGAGGAGTCCTAATCGGGATATTGGCTACTTGAGAAGAACAATTTGTCGATTAATTGACGGGAAGCCGTACGTTTGTTGCCCCACTACGTAAGTCCCTAATGTTGCGAGTGTGATAAAATGAACTATTCGCCCCTTTCCGTTCTATCTAAGATTCTAAGCATTTGCATATTTCAGGTCTGGCACGCCAGTGCCATCAGTGGAGCCAATGTCCAGTGTGAATTTTACCACATCGCCAGGAAACGCTGATCGTAGACTGTTCCCAAATCCGCGAAATTATGAATGTGGTGGAACTTTGATCACCAAAATTACCAACGGTGAAAATGCTGCGCGGGGAGCGTGGCCGTGGATGGCTCTTCTATTCTATAAAGGTGGTGAATTCGCTCGTCTTCTCACCTTTCGTTTCTTCGGAATGTGGAAATTTTAAAGTTTTTCTTTTCACCGGAGACTCGATGGAAAAGAACGTTTCTGCAGCGTTTATTTCAAGCTTCATTTTTATGTTTTCGTAAGGTTCATTCGCAAGCATTGGAGAATCGATGAATTTAATTTCGACCGTTAAGTTCACGAGATTCACTCACCGTAATTTTAGTTGTCTATGCCTTTTGTTGTTGCTCGAATTGATACTTCGAATAGCCAGAGTTTTTGATGCTCGAGTGTGCAGTACTGTATCCTCGAAAATAATTCGGTGCGTGGTGTATCGTTTACAGTATTTATTTTTTCTCAATTTCAGTTAAGGGAAGTGGTACGAAGCACGGTTGCGGCGGTTCCTTGATAAACAAGCGTTACGTAATGACAGCTGCGCATTGCATTCTCGAGAGTGACATTGCGACATTGTAAGTAGAGAAATTCATTGCAATCAATGGAATTGGCTCTTGAATAAATTGTTGGGTAGGGCTTTTGTACGACTTGGAGAGCATGACTTGAGAACCAACCCGGATTGTGACCGATTCAATCAATGCACTTATTACCGGGACATCCCCGTGGAAAGCGTAAAGGTTCATCCAGACTTCATTCAGCATCCATATAAGGGTGCCAAGAATGATATTGCTCTTGTGCGACTGACCAGTGATGCGGGCGTTGCTGAAGATGGTTTGAGATGTTTAAAAAAATTGCTTCCTCGTTTCGGCAACTAATCAATTCTGCATGATTCAGGACTGAAAATAGCGCCCGTTTGCCTACCCTTCGATCCGTTTGATGTAGATGCAAAAGGAGATCCTGCACTATCTTCTGCGCAGACGACATTGCTTGTGACTGGGTGGGGGAAAATCAGTGTTCGTGAGTATTTTTTTTTTCATGAGCAATAATGGATTTATATTGTATAAATGTATACTGTAGTTCATAGAAATATTCCAAAAAAGTAAAAATATTTGGATACAGGGATACAGTGCGAGTTTTTCCATTCGATGATCTAGCTCTAGCTGTTCGTTGCTCAATGCAAACAATGGTGAAAGACCCCCCCCCCCCCCTGTAACCTCAAATATTTTAATAGAATTTATTTTCTGCGTTAAATCTGCTGTATAACGCATTTTTGCTTGTGTTCTTCGTTTATTAGAATTTGAAAATGAGGGCAGTGACATCCTGCAGCAGTTGCAAGTGCCCATCGTGAGCGCCGAAAAATGTAGAGAAACTCCTGCTTTTCGAAGGGTCGACTTCGGTCCAGGCCATCTCTGCGCTGGTGGTGTGCAAGGAAAGGATTCTTGCAAAGGTGACAGCGGAGGACCGCTGATGATTACGGGTAACAAAACGGAAATCAGTACTGTGTTTTTCCAAGTTGGCATTGTGTCATTCGGTACGCCTTATTGTGGTTTGATACGGGCTCCTGGTGTGTATACCAGAGTGAGCGAATATCTGGAATGGATCGTAAGTTCTGTTGAACCGTGATTAAGTTTGCAACAAATGCTCAAAAATGGCTGTCCATAATTCAAGTGTTAATGGTCAGAGTATTTTTTCAATCGACAAGTCGACCGCTTGCTGATCTTGATTTTTACTTGATGTTCAGACTGTGCTGTGACACATTGATTCTTTTGTATCTGAAGTGTTCATTTCTTACCAATTACCTTGAAATATGCGTTGTTTTTTTGTCGACCATTTCTAGTGTTTATTATCATGTAGAATGTTTTCCCGTCCTTCCATTGATATTCTCTCTTCAGCTTTGGTTGAAGTGAGAATCGCAATTTTTACAGCTTGACTTCTAGGATCTCAATGTTGCCAAATTCCCGCATGATCTGCAGAGATGCTGCATTTAGAAGTATCGCAAAAAGGGGCGGGAAGATCGCCCGATGCACAGTGTCGACTCGATTTTATTCGATTTTTTTTCCATGTTGTGCGAAGACTATGAGTATTGCGAGCGATGATACATTAAAAATTTATGGTGGTCGTTAAAGCAAGATAAACCTCTTCTATAAATGAACTGCCTTATCATGATTACTGATACCCCAGGCTGACCTCAGCTGGGTGACATTCACGTGTTTCAAAGTTCGAAAGTTATATAACGTGAACCAATGACAACGAGCAATAATTTTTTTCGGTTGAATTTTTTCCCCACGCTTTATCCGTAGTTTAATGTATATCGAATATTTCAGCAATCCATGACCTACAGAGAAAAACGAGGGTTGCCCTAGTTTAGGCGTGATTTAAAAAAATCCTGAAGTAGCGTATGACGTTCTGAGTTTCTGATTTTTTTTCAGATTTTTGGAGTACAGTATGTCAATTTACTGAATAAGTGAAAACTTTCCAGTTACAGTATTCCAAATGTAGAGAATAGAATGGGTAAAACAACAATAAATTTAAATTTTCAGGTGGCCCGACACATTTTTTGCCCCCTGTGACATGGTTGGAGAGCTCTGCTGTAACTGGAAGGTTTTTTGCATAACTTTGATAACCCTTGTATATTATGAGTAAAAATATCTCAACTCATGTTTCGCATGCATTTTTCCATACTGAAATTTTGAGGGGAAATTGACTGCCAGTTATATTACTTGCATAACAATTTTATGGATTTTAAGGAACGTTTCCTGATTTATTTTTACATATCCTAGTTTATTCAGAGGATTCGTGGAATTCGAGTAAATGTTTCTACGGACTTTTGCTGCCAGTTATTGTATTTTCCATTTGTAAAAGGTCCTTCATATTATTCTCAAAATTTTATTAATTACGTACACAGAAATCTTTGGTATGATCCAGTAAGTACTGAAATAGTTATTGAAAGTTTATCGCAAGAATCATGTCATAATGTTTCCCAGTGTGTTGACGGTACATTCTTCAAGATAAGAAAGGTGTCCAAAGCGATTAAATGATTGAATAGATAATTTTTCTCTGTTTCAGATGGGTCATGCTTGCGGCGATTCTGATAAAAGTGAACAGGATGACGAAGTGTTAGCTTTGGTGAACATATTTGAACGCTCCGACGAGTACAAAATCTCGGCAAATGAGGAAAAGCTCGAGGATGGTACATATTGGACGGGATGCATCGAAGTTTCTCCCCTTCTCCCGTCAATTTTTCGTGTTGTGATCGACAGTAACTCGGAGCCCGCGGCGAAAGAATGCGTGAAGCAGTGCATAGAGTACTTGCCGCATTTTTGCCTATACTTCACGTTCCCCCACGAATATCCCAGCAAATCTCCGCCGAAGTTCACTCTGACGTGCGAGTGGCTTACCAGAAGTCAGCTCTCATTAATTTGCTACGAATTAGATCGCCGATTTGAATGTTGTGCTGTGCTATTTTCATGGGCTATTTTTCTTCGTGAGGAAGCTCTTGGTTTCATCGGAATCACGGATGAACTGCGTTTGGATTCCGCCGAATCTATCGAAAAACTTGATCCTCGAGCAGTCGGCAGGGTGTCTTCGGATGCCTTGGTTGTTTTGGGAACTTTGCTTGAGTTTAATGAAAGAAGTCGACGTCAAGCGTTTGACGCTTCTCATCGGGACTGCACCATCTGCGGTGATGTCAAATTTGGAAAGGACTGCTTGGAGTTCGTCAAATGCTCGCATGTGTTTTGCCGAGATTGTCTGAAGAGCTATTTCGAAGTTCAGATAAACGAAAATCGCTGCCATTCATTGACATGTCCCGAATCCAAATGTGATACTCCTGCCTTGCCATCCCAGGTTCGGGAAATAGTAGGTGATGAACTTTTCAAGAAATATGATTCCCTCTTACTGGCGTCGTCTTTGGATAAAATGGAGGATGTGTGCTATTGTCCCCGAAATTTCTGTCAAGCCGCGGTTATTCTGGATGCTCCTGATGAACTCGGAACTGCCGAAGTGGGACGTTGTCCTCAGTGTTTTTTTGTTTTCTGCAATCGTTGCCGCCGGACATATCACGGAGTGGAACCCTGCAATCTTTTGAACGAAGAAAAGCGAAAACTTTACGAAGCCTATGTAAACGGAACGCAAGAGGTGAAGCGTCATCTTGAGAAGAAATATGGGTTGAAACAAATTCAAAGCGTGGTTGCCGAGTTGGATTCCGAGAGTTGGCTTGATGAAAATTCAAAGCGTTGTCCGAGATGCAATGCCCGGATCGAGGTGAGTAACGGAGGACTGATGATATTTTATAGGACTTGGAAATTTTTGTCGTCTGCTGATCCCAGTACAGTACTTCCATCAAGAAAGTCTGCCTTCCCACGGGATTAAGAGGGGGACAACTACAGGGCATTTTCATGTATAGATGATACTTTAATATCAGCTTCTTCCTTTCAAGAAGCTCAGATTAATACGAACCAGATTAAAAATTATTTGAACATGCAGATTTTCTCATTCATGAGAAAAAATCAGCCCTGGTTCCTTCTCAAAGGTTCCTTCTCTCTCTAAAATTTCTGGGTTTCATCATCGACACAACCTTGATGGTTATCAAACTCCCAGAAAGCAAGTGGAAACGCCTTGCTGATGATTTAAAAACTCTCCAAGGACATTTTCTTCAAGGTTCGAAAATCAGACTGCAAAAATTTGCACAAATACTTGGCTTTTTATTAAGCTGTTTCCCAGCTATACCTTACGCCATGGCCCATTTTCGTCTTTTCCGAAAAGCCCGACATAAGGCTCTCTCTGACAACCTTCATTGGGATGATTTTTTCCACCTTCAGAAGTTTTTAATGCGAATTTTCGTTGCGCGCGTCTTTCGTCATGAGGATATTAATTAACATCAAATCTTCTTCACAATTTTTTTTTTTTTTTTTCAGAAAAGTGGAGGTTGCAACAAGATGGCTTGCTGGAAATGTGGGTCGTTTTTCTGCTGGTTATGCAGCGCGCTCTTGCCTAAGGATAACCCCTACGCTCATTTCTCCCGAGAGAATGTGCCTTGCTTCAATCAACTGTTCGCGGGAACACGTGATAGAGATGATCACGATGACTTCGAATTTTTTTTCAGGGAAGATTTGGACGTGGATGACGAAGATATTCTGCTTCATCCCATCTGAGCAGATGGGATGAGCCAAGGCGAACCTGGAATTATTAGCAAAACTGTAATTATGATTGTGCGTGAGTTGCTGACAGCGTCTCGCGTTTTTATTTTATTTGTGATCCTCGCTCGTGATTTACGAATTGAAGAATGCCTGTTCACTATTTTGTTTTTCGTTTCAGATTTCTTATAAGTTCTGCCCTTATTAACTAGGTAAATTTTTTTCAGGTGGTGCTCCTTTTTTTTATAGCGTTTGTTTCGGGTTTTTCACTATGGATAAGCTCAAAATAAATTACGATCTCCTGCCCATGAAATCGCACTATCTTTTCATCAATGCAGGTAAGTATTTTTTGAGCTGCCTCATTTTGCAATCATCCAGATTTTTAAAATTTTATCTTTCTCTGCAATGTATCTAAAAGCTATCCTTTCCGCGGGCGCTCGAGACTCGGTGTTCTCTGTAAAATTTTAGAATGAAGTATTTCTTACTGAACAATGATATCCAGACCATTATTCAAATTTTTTCTCCGTCTTGTTTGTGAAGGAGAGTTGAAAATTCAATGGTGATTTTCTCAGGTTCATTTGCATGTTTTATGAATTTGCAGACCTTCGGTTTATGCTTTCCATAGAATATTTAACTTAAAATATAATATCGTTTTAGTTGCAATTGCTTATACAGTACAGTATCTGACAACCTTTCTGGATATGAACGCATTCTGTTTTTCTAATTTCTAAAAATATCGATCGGCGAACAAAATACCCCAGTAAGATCTGCCATTGAAGAAAAGCCTTGGTAAGTAAGAGGCAGGTTTCAGGCCTAATGATCCCAAAATTGTACGTGGGATCTTGACTCATAAACGTAGGGTACCCAAGGAACTTTCCCAAGAAATAGTACAGTCCAGGATTTATATTTGAATTATCCCTCGTTTTTATTGAAGTACACTTCTATGGAGAGATCACGGTTTGCTCCATCGTCTTAAAATATGACTTTTTCATCTTTCAGGTATGAGCCCTTTGATGCCATTTTTACCCATCTTCGGTCGTCAGTTGGGAATAACGTCGTCAATGGTGGGATGGATTTATTTTACGCTGCCATTTGTTGGGCTGGTGTCACGGACTAGCCTCGGATACCTCGCAGACAAGTTCAATGCCAGGAAGAGAATTTTGTTTGGATCGATTTTAGTGATGGCGGCTGTCTACTTTTCTATTCAATACGTGCCATCCTTGGAACGTGAAAAAAGGGCGCTCTTAACTACGACGTGCTTGAACGACTCTGGCGGCTATTTAGTGGACTCCAGTCACTTTTCTTGCCTTTGTTCTTGGGAGGCAATGAATCAAAAAGAATCTGACAGCCTGTCACAGTGTACTATGCAATGTGGCGCCGAACCTGAGCGCGGCGTGATGTTGCAGAACTACGGCGCTCTTTTCAATTCAACGGATAGCTACAACGCAGCGTGTGCAATGGATCGAACCTTGACTCTTCTGAATATTCCTTTCACTACGATAGAAGGCGGTTGTAATGATGGGATGCAATGTACAGTCGTTTGCGAGGATAGCTTTTCACTGAAGGATTGCTTGACATCGGGACCGGACAGTTACGTAACTTCACAGGGCTACTGGTCGTTCTTCTTATTCATGGTCCTCTTGTGGTGTGCGACTTCTGTTGCTGTTAGTCTGTCGGATACTATCTGTTTTGTGGTTCTTGGTGAGTTTTCAAGTACAAGTAGCTCAACAAGTTTTAGGATGAGGATAAGATTTCTTCAAATTTCCTGTACGAAAAATGTTGAACATTTTAAGCTCAGTGTTCAAGCGTGTCTGGCATTCGCAGAAATCGAAATACAGTTATTCGATTTATCTGTTGGACAATATTATGAATTATATTTTAGGAATTATAATTTGTAAGTATGATGTCTATTGTAGTAAGAGCATTGCAAAATTCAACTACAGTTGAGTGCTGACCATAGCTTATTTTATCTGTTCTGAGAAATCTGTTTACTCTGAGGTAGGAATTTCATATGACGGTATTTGATGAAGTCACAAATATGTTCACTTCGTCAAACTAAATACAAAACTGCTGAGTGACAGGAAACAAGAAGGCGATCGTGAAATTTCAAGGAAGGAAAAAAAAATTACGATGGGAAACGTGGATCATGTACAACATTTCATAAGCACGGTGACTTCAATATAACTTCAGCAGATTCCGTGTGGAACTCTTCAATGAAGCGAATTTCGTAATAATATTTACCCGTGATATTTTTATGCTTTTAAACACGAAGTTTCCATCATCACTTCGAAAGTCTAAGTCTGCGGCATTGCTTTTTATCTTTATCGATCTTAAAAACGTGATGATTTTTGTGATTGCGGTCAATTTTGATGTTCTGTGTTCTGAAATATTTCAAGCGCTAGACGACATTATCGTATTTATTTTTAGGTGCACGAGTCCATGATTACGGAAAGCAGCGACAGTGGGGAAGCATCGGCTGGGGTGCTACGATAACATTGGCCGGATTCCTGGTTGATCAAGCTAACCCAACAAATTACCCAGTGAAAGATTACTCCTCATGCCATTGGTTATCGTTGGGGTTTTTGCTTGTTGACGCAGCGAACGTGCTTTTCCTCCGTTTGAGGCAAAAGGATGAAAGTGCGACTGAGCCAAGAGTTGATGAACCGAAACCCGTCATCTTGACGAAACTAAATCAAAAAGTTGCTGTTCGTACACCAGTTGTGATCTTCATGGTCGTTGTTGTTTTCGAGGGAATGTGCATGGCGCTTGTATGGAATTACTTGTTCTGGCAAGTACTGTACTCGCTTATGTTCCTGTCGAAATTATTCTGAAGTCCTTTTAATTCAAAGTCTATGTAGAATTTTTGAGTTGTGATTTGAGAAATTTCTTGGTCTCCGAGCTCTTCGTTCACTATACCTCGATAGCCTATTGTTGCGAAGAGTGCTCAATAATTTCAGGTCTTAATTTTAAATTACGAGTGAATTTCTGAACACGTTTTTGTGGTGCTTTATAATGATTAAATTGGGTGTTCGTCTGAAAAAAAAACGCAGGTACTTGGATGATTTGGCGGGAGCGTACGGCGTTACCAACACAAAATTACTCATGGGATTGGCTTCATTCGTACAATGTTTCATTGGAGAAATCCCGTTTTTTCACTTTTCCGGTAAGCCATTGCCTTCATATTTTATTTTTGACAATTAGGTACAGTATTTATTTTCCCTATTGACTGGAAAAAATCGACTTTCGCTTCTGGGTTGAATCGTTTAATTTTCTGTTTCGGTCGTCGGTGCCAAATGCTTAATTTTTGCTCCAATAGCTGAATTTTGATTTAAATATTTTTCGGATGGATAGGTTATGTAATAAAAAAACTGGGCCACCATGGAGCCCTGACGATGGTGATGATGGCCTTCGGAATACGCTTCCTGCTGTATTCGCTTCTTTACAATCCTTGGATATCTCTGACGATTGAGATCAGCCAAGGCATAACATTTTCAATTTTCTACGCCTCGATGACATCCTACGTATACCGGATATATCCTCAAGAAATTGCAGCGACGATGCAGGGCTTCGTCGGTGGTTGCAATGAGATTGGTAAGTGGCGTGATTTGACAAAACTCATCGTAATCGATACCGTGTTCGCGTTTAAAACTGGATTCAGGAGCGAGTCGCTGAGAAAGCTTCGAGGAACGAATGTATCCATGTGTTTATGTAGCTCTTGATTAATGTACCAACGGGCGAAAAAAATTATGTTGTCTTTCTTTTTTCTCAATATTTTAAAGATATTACAGTATATCTTATCTGAAAAACGCTATGACATAAGCTGAACTGAGAACTGTACAGTATTAGTGAGGTGCACATGATGGACGATTAACTAAAGTGAACATTTCATTCCAAATTATGCGTTTATAAGTTTCACCTCTTCATATTAACGGAAAAGCTCAATCTTTTTTTAATATCTTTCCTGTTTCCTGGTTTTTCTCGCAAAATTTTAACGCGACGGCAGTGTTGCAGCAATATCAACAACAAAAAAACCTCATGGACTTCATGAAGATAAGCATTTAGGAAAAAAATTTGAAATTCCAATATTTTTCAGGACTGGCGATCGGAAGTCTTATTGCCGGATATATGATCGATTGGTCGTCGACCCGTACCACATTCCGTATCTTCGGGATCGGCGCATTAGTTGTTGGCATTGTTCACTTGGGGATACGGCTTTCTGTGAAGAGTATAGACAGGTTCCAAGGATTCAATCACGTTGAGGCCAAAGAACCCCGTGATAACGGTGAAAAGACGGCTAATGATTTCTTGCTTTCCGCATAAAAGACTTTCCTCTGATGAAAATTATTAAGTTTTATCTTGCCTTCTGCAGATATGGGCAGTGAGGACTAATAGGTTTGATGGGGAATGCGGTGGCTGGATGCGTGATTTGATCCATGTTGGGATTGCAACGGGGGCAATGTTTACTTAGTATCAAAGGGACCAACGTTACCATCCATTGTTGAGATCTGGTGGAGGTGCGAAGCTGTCAAGACGGTCGTGCCATGGGATTTGAATTACATTCGGTACGAGTTGAATACAGTAAAATCTCGTTGCAACGAAGCCATTGGTACCTGTAAAACAGTTTCGTTGTAATTAAAATTTTGTTGGCTATTGGGCAGGGACCTAAAAAATGACTTCGTTGTATGGAATAAGCGATTATTCGTTGCAACGACATTCTTTGTTACGAGATTTACTGTATTTACTAAATCTAAGATCAGCAAACAAGTGCATTCTGAAATTCTCGTGTTCAGCAGTAGCCAAATTTTTTTTCTGGTCATTTGTGCGAAAGGCATTTCGGCCGGTGGAATTGAATATATGGATGTTGGGATTGGTGCCTTGCAAAACGATTATTTTTATTACATTTTCAAGTTTATCCCTCGCGCTGTGCTGTTCATTATACCGACGATTCAATACGAACTGGTCAGTTTCTTGATGGAACGCAGAAGGAACTTCATCCACTCGGAATACACTGTAATCTATAATCGTGATGTAAGCTCCTTCGGTGTACGCAAGTAGTGTGAAAATCACACTTTTTTACGGCTTTCTGAGTAATTTGCGCAGTTCCCTGCGCAACGTTACAGAATTTGCGCAAATAGCCCTCTACTGGAGTAACGTGGAAGTGAGCGGCCGTGGGTTGAAAACTGTACCGTAATTGTCTTCAACTAGAGGAAGATCGCCGATGCAGTTATGCGGTTGCTCGCAAACAGTTAGTTTGTAAACATTAAAGCTCTTTGTGTACGCGGAACTCGGCACCGGAGAGCTACTGTACTAGCAGACGTGCAGTGGCCGAGCCATGTAGTTCCCGCTTTTCTGCGATTTGACCGTAATAAATCGTCGACATTTGCGGACTGTCGTTATCCTCAGTTTCATGGCAGAATAAGCTTTATATTTGTTAACAGTACGATACCTTGATACGCAGGAAATTTCACGACGCATCTCTAATGGTCTAATCATCTAATGGACGGTTATCTAGGCTTTTCAGAAAATATCGTGAGCTTGAACTCGGACGTTTTTTGCGCATGTTGCAAAAGAAAAGGAATTGTTGGCATTTGTAGTCATAAAATCCTGAAGGAAATATGTCAATTATCATTGTCTGATTGGGCTGGCATATTTCCTCATCCGCATAATGTGTTAAAAATGGAATTTATCAACAGCGGCACATATGGCTCATGTTAAGAATTTCCAAAAGCTTAACAAAGCCCAGCAAAAAAATGGGGTGTGACTTGTCGAACAGGCCTCATCACATCCAGTCACGCCTACAACCTGAGGTCCTAAGCAACCTCAGCAATATTTTCAAACCACATTTCTAAAAGGTCTGCACATTTGAAAAGTGATGTTTACAGGAAAAAAAGTCAAGTTTTCTGTATTAAAAGGAAACCTTACTAGACATAATGTCACAGTAGTCCTGTGACACCACTCACAACATTGTAAACTCAAACCCTGAAGTCTATACAGTAACTAGTGTTCGTAAAGGAGAGAGTGATGAGGATAGGGAGTGAGGGGATGGGGGGTGCAGTGGCGCCGAGTTTCGCTGGCGTGGCTTCCTTCTCAGGCCAGAAACTACACCACCATTCTCATCACTCTCTCCTTTATGCACACTAGTGACAGACTTGAGGCTCTGAGTTTACAGTGCACTGAGTGGTGTCACACGAAAACTCCTACATGCCAGGTCTAAAGGTTTCTCATTACAAAGAAGCTGTTATGTCCCAAACATGGGGTATTTCTCTTGGAAGGCACTCACATGTGGTGCAGATGGAGACTCCTGAAACTCAGCGGCCAGAGATGGAGCAGCATCACGCGCTATTCATGAAGTCAATGCGCGCATGAAGTCACTCATTGAGTTCATGAATAGCATTGGGAGACAGGGTGGAAGTAAATAGCCCTCTACTGGAGTAACGTGGAAGTGAGCGGCCGTGGGTTGAAAACTGTACCGTAATTGTCTTCAACTAGAGGAAGATCGCCGATGCAGTTATGCGGTTGCTCGCAAACAGTTAGTTTGTAAACATTAAAGCTCTTTGTGTACGCGGAACTCGGCACCGGAGAGCTACTGTACTAGCAGACGTGCAGTGGCCGAGCCATGTAGTTCCCGCTTTTCTGCGATTTGACCGTTCCGAGGTTTGCTCCGGATACGTGTCGTTAAGACAAGATCTGTGACATGAGTCGTGAATCCACGGTGAAACAGTGTTGAAGTGATGTGGAATTAGTTGGAAAAGTTGAAGGAGGACAGAATGTGGATTCTTGTGATTTTGTCATGATTGCATCTTCCCCGCTCACATGGTCTTCAGGATTATCGGCAGTATGCCTCGCTCACGCGTTCGAAAGGAATGAATAAAAGCCTGCATCGTGTCTTAATTTTTCGGAAAATGTTTTCCGAAATATCTCCCCCGAGTGACGTCGCGGGTATGAAAAAATTGGACCGGGAGAAGTTTGTTAAGGATGTTGTTATTCCACATTTCATCACGGAAAAATCGTCGGTCTCCAAAGCCATATCTCTGCTGAAGCCACTTTTTCTGAAATTGCGAAATTTCAAGCCAGTTACGGAAGCTGTGTGCGATAGCCCTGGAAAAGAGCAGAAGAAAATTTTTCTGGATCCCAAAAAATTCGACGCGTGTACGGACATCCGTCAGAGGATAAATGCGGCAGATGTTCGCGGAGTTTTCGGTGAAAGTATAGTCCGATTGACCTATTCAAATTGGAACAAGGATGAAATATTGAAAGCGGTATTACCGACGGGAATGGAACACATTTCAAGTTTTTCTTCAATCGGCCACATTGTCCACGTGAATTTGCGTGACGACCTTCTGCCGTATAAGCTCCTCATCGGAGAAGTGCTTTTGGATCAAGTGGTAAACGCTCGTTCAGTAGTCAATAAGAAGTCTGGCATTTCTAGTGTTTATCGTAATTTCGAAATGGAGCTTCTTGCTGGAGAAGAAGATACGGTTGTCACTGTATCTGAGAGTGGGTGCCGATTTTCATTCGATTTCGCCAAAGTTTACTGGAATCCGCGACTGTCGACGGAAAGAGACAGAATTCTCAAGGTATTGACGCGCGGAGATATTTTGATGGATGTTTTTGCAGGAGTTGGTCCGTTTGCCATCCCTGCTGCAAAAAAGTGTGAAGTTCATGCCAACGATCTAAATCCTGCATCGTATGATTCCTTGAAAACAAATTTGCTGCTTAACAAAGTTGAATGCTCAACGTACAACATGGATGGTCACGAATTCATCGCTCTTCACTGTGCGGCTGTTATTCGAAGGCATTGGAAAGCACTTCTTGGCGTGCCTCCCTGTGACAGGCAACAGCCGTCGAAACTTCATGTTTTGATGAATTTACCCGCTATAGCTGTAACTTTTTTGTCCTCATTCGTCGGACTGATGAATAACTGCGGGATCCATTGCAAGCAAATCAATGATCTATTCCTACCAATCGTGCATGTTTATTGCTTCTTGAAGGAATCGGAAAACATTCAATCTGATGCAGTGAAGCTAGTTGAAAGCCATCTTGGGCGCCCTCTTCGAAAAACTTATATTCAAGAAGTAGTGCTTGTCCGGGACGTATCACATTCGAAGATGATGGTGCGCGTAAGTTTTTGTTTACCGAAAGAAGTTCTTCTAAATGAAGAATCCAGGGATGGTCCCGTTGAAGATGTCAAGCGGAGACACGTAAAATCGTGAAACATTGGAATAAGCGGAGTAATATTGTGTACATCGCGAATTTTTTTGCTGTTCTTCAGCTGTGAACAAAATTTCCTCAAGATTTGCATCTCTTGGACTGGAAATAGATTTGATCTGGTGTCATGCGTGCGGAGTGTAAGCGATATCAGTAGAAAATGTGGCCTCAACGCGATAATGTTTCAAACGTTAGCGCTGGAGGATTTTATCCTTCAGGACCTTACAACTCGACGCAGAATAATCCACGAATGATGGGCCCGCCTCGGATGCCAGTGGTAAGTTGTATTTGAGAAAAATTAATACCTCACGAAAGCTATGCTGTAATCTAGACTCGACTGCTGACGGAGAAAAATCGCGCAATTTAGTCTGTTTTTGCTAATTTTCTGAATGGTGAAGCTGGAAGTAAAAATTTTTTTTTAATTCGGTGAAGTGAGGAAGTTCATAACTTGAGTTGGGCTTGTATATACGGTACTGCAAAGCCCATCAGTGGGTTAGTTGATGCCCTTAAAATGTATGCCTCACGTGTTGTCAACTCGACGTGTCACACTCAAGTCGCTACATTAATGCGGGCTTATGTTAATGAAAACTTTCTTTGATGTTAGCCCGTGTTTACCACCTGATGACTCTTCCATGGGAACAAAGCAAAAGAATAATCCATCATGAGGTAGATACGTAGACGACGAAAAATAAGTAGCGAAATTAGGTTATACAAGGATTCACCGCTTAACGAAAGACCCGCGCAAAGAAAAATCCGCTTGACAAAAACGTAAAAGAGAGAAGTGACTCGTGGAACAAAAATGTGTAACATGACTATTTTGTTTGACCACACAGTTCTGAAGATTTAAAATGGTATTTCGATGAGTATCTGGAAGGAATTTAATCTTTTATAATTTAACTTCGAGGAAAATCGCGTTTTTCATTACGAGAATTCTGCATGACACACACCGAAAAACGGAGTAGATCTATTACGGGTATTCGAGGACCTATTGTCCTGCTCAGTATTTCACGAAACGGATTTTATCAAATTATGCCTCACAATATTTTTTATTGAAAGAAAACTGATCAACAGCGCTATGCAAATCTGTACTGTGCTTCGTCAACTGTCGCTATCTTTATTTTTCAGGAACTTTTTACTGCACAGACTTCGCAATACGCAGTTCATGCCGTTATTTTTCTCTTGGCTGCGACAATTATGCTGTGTAAATTTGTTCGGTCAGCTTGTCTTGAATATACTGTAATTTGAAGTGATATGATCTAATTTTATGTGCACTCGATCGTTGCTACAAATGTAAATCTCGGGAATATTTTTCTTTCGCCGCAGAATCAACCGATTCGTGCTGGACTTCTGCCAGCGCCTGCTGGGGCAAGACCAGGATTTTCGAAAACTGAAAATTTGCCTGAAACTCAGTCGACAACTACGTACGGCTTTCAAAGAAATTATGGCTCTTCCCAAGCTTCGCATGATTTGGGTAATCCGCCATTGTCACAGAACAGCGTTGACAATAGAATGCAGATGACTGGGAACTCTCCCAGTGGAGTCCCGAAGCAGGGGAATTTCGGTGGGGCCACAAGTTCACAAGGTGGGTTTGGAGGAAATCCGCCGCCGCCGCCGCCCCCATCTGTAGCGCCTGTTGGGTATACAGGATATAGTTATTCCGGTAATCCACCGAGTAGTGCCGTGAATCAAAATGTGCCGGGCCGACAACCGGTAAGATTCGTTTCTCTTTCCATGAGAAAATTTTCAAAGCTTTTTCACCATTGCTGAATTTTCGTAATCATAATATTTTTGATTTAGGTTGCTCCTGGACCAACTCAAAATACCGGATATACTGGGTACGGATATTCCAGCAATCCACCAAGCAGTGCCGTGAATCAAAGTACGCAAGTCCGTCAGCAGGTGAGATGCGTCTTCTTCTATTCAACTTTTCCCATATTAATTAATCGTTTTCGAATTTTTAAAATCATCACCGTTGAAATTTAGATATCTGGAGCATCCCAAAATCATGCTTTCAACAACACCCAGCAGGGTAAAAATTTTCCGGGCCCACCCATGAACCAAGCCTTTCCGGGATCGTCACAGAACCAAAGATTCCCTGGTGCGCAACAAAGGTTCCCCGGGCCTCCGTCAGTTCAAACTTTCTCTGGTGTCCCTCAGACTCCGAGATACCCGGATGCAAATCATTATCCTACCCATTCGTCGCAGAATCAAAATCGACCAGCTGAACTTCACAATCAAGGCTATTTTGGTCCACCTCAGAATTTCGGTTATCCTTCTGCACCATCAAATCAAGGTTTCTCGAATGTAGTCCCAGGAGCCGCTCAAAACCGAACTTTTCCAGGAACGCATCCTAACCCAAATTATACCGGCGGAAGTACAAGTTCTATTCCGGTCCCACATCCTTCCAGTGGTCAAAATGCAGTTCCTCCATCGTCGTTATTGATGTTCAATAAGCCTCCTCCCCCACCTCCAGAACCTCATCCAAATGTCGATATGGAGATTGAAGCGGAAACAGGAAGTGACCGTTGCGAAACGCCGGAAAGTCAGCTGGATGAAAGTGAAAAACTTTTTAGAAAAGAAGCGCAAGAATGGCAGAAGGGCTACGATGATTGGAAGGAGCAGAATAAAAACCACCCGGATAAGGTGAGGATTCTTTTCCGCTGTCTGAAATATACCTGTCAGTTTTTCCATTGTGTCATTTGTATATCAGCTTTCGTTCTGTGTTTTTTTTTCAGGAACTTTACAAAAAGTACGAAGCACAATGGAATTGCTTAGGAGACCGGTTGAAAGAGCACAGAGCCTCATTGCGAGCGAATCGACTGAAAAACCGGGCGCAAGCGCAAGCTCTTGCCAAGATAGCTTTGGAACAGCGTCCACCATCTCCTCCAGAACCGTTTCCTGAGAATACCGAAGACGATGTTAAGACGTCGGAAACTTCTGGTTCGTTTTGGTCCAGGCAAAATCAAGATCGTCCGGCAGACCCGTCTAGTGTACTCCCGTTGCTGTCGCCTTCCAAAGTTGCTCAGAAACCGCCAGGTAGGCCTCTTCTTTCAATTATTGAAGGCAGAAAGTTGCCGCGAATCTAAATTCTTTCAACCAGTGATTACGAAGTTTTTACAAAATATGTACTTGTAGAAATTGGGTTTTTAAAAATTTTAATATTTCGCATGACGAAAAAGGGCGGAGCCGTACTCTTCTTTCTTTGCGTGAGTGTTTTGCTAGATTTCAATGAAGTGCGGTACTGCACATTATTTTACACTTAACTTGCTTTAAGCTAGAAAATACATTTTACCGCTACTACTTCTCGTGAAAAAAAACGTGACGTCACATCACGGTGAAATCACGTTTTGAACAAGATTTCTGAAAATTAAAAGTCATGTTATTCATGGTTTCAGAATCGCATCTACGCATCGATCCGCCGAGAGACGAAATTATACCTACAATTGAATTGGAAGATGTTGAAGAAGAGCCTGAGCCGCCTCGACCGTCTCAGTCTAAGTTTTCTTCTGATCTACCCAACACAACCGACCTCAAAGCGATTTTGGATAAAATTCAAGGAAAAAATCAGTCCGACGGACCCAACGAACCTACGCCTGAATCCAAGAAGTCGTTGTTGCCCACCCCGCAGGTTCCCTCGAAGAAAAATTCAATGCCGCAAGTTTCTGAAAGCAGGAGAGGAAATTTGGAAATTCCATCGAGGAATCAGGAACAGACACAAGAGGACTATCTGTTTGAGCGCCGCGATTCCGTTGAACGTGTCTGTGAGACTGAGCTTGTTCCAGATGAAATAATGCACGAAGAAATGCACGAAGAAATGCAGTGGAGAAATGAAATGGCACGGCGAAAACTTGAGTCGCAGGCCGACGAATTATTCCAGAATCCAATGCCCGCACAACTTGGACGTGCGGGCGTGCGCCTTCAAACGGAACGTCCACGACATATCCTGCAAAACCAAAACGTGGCCCCACATTTTCAACCGCAAAATCCTCTGCAAAACCCAAAGATGGGTCCACATTCTCAACCGCAAAATCTGCTGCAAAACCCAAATATGGGTCCACATTCTCAACCGCAAAATCTGCTGCAAAACCCAAATATGGGTCCACATTCTCAACCGAAAAATCTGCTGCAAAACCCAAATATGGGTCCACATTCTCAACCGCAAAATCTGCTACAAAATCCGTATGTGGCCCCAAATTCTCGATTGCTGTCAAATTCCTCTGTTGGCTTGTCGCCTCAGCAAAAAGATTGGCCGTCTATTCATAAAATGAGGTTACTCAGTCAGAATTTACGTGAAACCATAGAAATTGAACGCAGGATGGATGAGGACGAGCTTGAGTTACAGACCCCAGCCGAAATCGCACTGACTCCGTTTAAAAACTCCCCATGGTTTTTGTCGCATCACTACGAGTGGCTAGATCACGTATCTATCCACGAGCCTGATCCAATAATCCGCGAGACTCATGTTCACGTGCTGGATGATGAAGTGGAAGAATTGCTGCAAAAACAAGCGAAACCGGATGTGCGTGCAGTAGAAATCGTAGACGAAGAAGAAGAAGATTTCGACATGCGTTTCTCGGACTCGCCGTGGCTTCCGTTGCACTTAGAAGGCCTTGATCATCCATCGTACTCATCCAAAGAAAAACGGCTGGAATTGGGAGGAAAAGGCCCAGATTGGTACGATTCACCTTGGCGTGAATTGCACACAGAAGACCTGGATTACCCATACGAAAGTGAATTCCAAAGGCTAAAGCGCAAGGCTGCCGAGCCATTACCTTTCAAGCCGATTTCGTTCGATGACAGTTATGACATCGATGCACTGATGATCGATAGACGACCCAAAATTGGCGCTAAAAACGAAAAGAAGGGGGAAAAATCGACTCCCCTGGCGGAACCTATGGCGGAAGCTTGCCAAGTCTGGGATGACGATGCTGAAGAATTTGTGGAATGTCATAATTACAGTAAGAATCATTTTTACTTCTCGTCAGTTTTCTGCGGACTTCCGAACAGTGAAACCTCGTTTTTGCTTTCAACTAATCATTTTTGGGAGAACTCGCAATATTTGAATTCTTGGCTCGTATTCAGATACAGTGCATCAAACGCACTATAAATCATTGTCCAGATAATAAAAATCCCGATGTAATAATTGATGTACTGTATCTCGTATTCAGATATAGTACATCAAATGCACGATAAATCATTGTTCAGATGATAAAAATTTCAATGTAATGAAATTTAATTTCCTTGTTTTCAGCCGATCGATCGTATGAAGCATCGCGTAATTATCGTCGATCACCTCGGAGAGAAAGAATCATGATGAGTCGTTCACCACCACCAGTAACTCGAGGTAAGGTGACCATGATTTTTTGATTCATGATTCTTGATAATTGATGACCGCATGAGGGATGGTGCACAATTTTTAAACTCAAAGGAATGAATTGCTTTTCATGACATCACCTCATCATTCTGGAGGACATAATTTTTCTGCATACAAAATATTCTCCTCTGATTTCACGTCAATTTTGAATTTGAAAAATATACTGCATTGAACTATGCCTTGAACGAAAAATTTCAATAACCATGTAAGAAATATTGAAAATTGGATTCATGCTGATACTGTACGAATTTCATCCGAAATACTGTACAGGTGGACACTCTCTATAACGAAATCCTAGGAACCCAAAAAAATTGTCAAGAATTTGTTTGTAGAGAACCCATATGAGAGAATCTCATGAGGAAGAAAAATCGTTTTACAGAGAAAATAGTTTTAGAGAGTCCACCTGTATGAGGCAAACTTTCTCGATGTACCGGGTAGGACCTTCTTCAGTTTATGCCTTTACCGGCTACAATTTTCAGTAGGATTCTTCAATCCGAACGTAGTTGCAAGGCTAGGAGTTCCTCTTTTTTTCTTCGTGGATAAAAGATTGATGAATACAGTACAGTACTGATGATAGAAAAACAAAATTGCAACCTTCTGGTGTGACACCAAGTCGCCGGTCTCATCAGGGTGTCATTCCTGGTGTTCATGGTGTCAATTTTAATTTTTCGTAATGTCACGCAGTTGCCTTGATTTAATTTTCTATAAATTTATTTTACAGAAAAAATATTTTATAGATAGAATTTTTTTTCTGTAAAATTAGTTTATGCAGTGTTGAAATGTTCTCAACCTGAAATTTGTAAAATTTTAGTGGAATATCCGTCTGGACGAAATCAGGGAATGCACTCTCCCAACCGTGATTTGAGGCATCGGGAAATTCGGCGGATGCGCGATATGCGTAGCAGGAGTCGTGAAAACAGTCGAGAAAGAAGCTCGAGGCGGGAGAGGAGCCGTGACAGAAGTCGAGAGCGATTTGATAGGTTTCGTGACCATGATGAACGTCGTGGACGGAGCAGAGATTCCAGTTTTGATCGAGAAATGGGAAGAGGGAAGCATGCAATTTACGACAGGAACATGGAAAGAGAGTCTAGCTACGACAGGTGAGTATTTGAGAAATTTTGCTGGCGTTTTCTTGACCTTTTTCTCAGTTGATCTGACGACTGTGACTTCGTAGCAGAAACTTTCTCCCACAAGCTGTGGGTTTCAGAACATTTCAGTTTGTTGGCATTAAGAATGCACGTGCTGTCGACACTTTTCATGCGTTTCAAATTTGTTTGCTGTGGGCCAGCATGAAAACGGATGCTTTTATCTTGTAGGCGTCGTGAATTCAGTCCACGGAATCGGGATCGCAGTGCTTCTATTCGGAATTCGAACCAAAGTTTCCACAAAGACGGCCATCAACGTGGATTTGATGATAGAGAACCCAGCGAGCGTCGAACTGATCGAGAACGTAGACTCGCTGAAGTGTCCCGGATGGAAGAACGCGATAGAATTTTTACGAATCATTGGAACACTCGTGGTCGTGATCGTTCGAGATCATCTTCATCAGATAGACGACCTGCGTTTGTTGCGAAACGCCATCAGAGCCGGAGTCCACCGTGGGAAGAGCATCGTTCAAAGAAAAAATCTCCACCATCATCGAATAATCCGCAAAATGATTGGTTTGCGACAGCATTTGCGGAACTGGACAGCGATATTCCACCACCACCAAAACTGTACGGCAACAAGTATGTCGAGTCTGAAATGTCTTAGTTATGAAGCTCACCTTTATGATTTGATTTTATTTGCTCGTTCACCACCATCGGAATCAAAAATTTCCTGACGTTTTTCGTCTATTTATCAGTGCCAGTGACATTGCAACCATTGAAGACGACGGATTTGAAGAGTACGCCCCACCTCCGCCACCAAGCTTGAAAGAGAATAGAGCGGTCAAAGACAATACTGATGGGGTTTTAATGAATAAATCACCACAAGTTTGTGAAAGAAGAGCTGTTCCAGTGAGGAGAGAACCGAATGTTGACGTTGACACCTTACTCTTCCCGCCGGGAAGAAATTCGAGACCTGACCTTATAGTGATTTTTATTCGTGGTACACCAGGAGCAGGGAAGTCCCACATCGCAAAATTAATTAAGGTATATTAATTGTATTCAGATTCGTTTTTTTTAGGAAGGAATATTTTGAGGAATCTTGTTATGCTGAACTTTTAAGCCGGAAAATCGTTTTTTTTTTCTAAAAACATCTAAAATCCAGATCTTTTTTCCTTCTAGACATTTTTTTTCTTACTTGTCTGGCTGTTTTGAACGATCGCCAATTTTAAAGTTGTGTTAATTTTTTCCCCAGGAAAAGGAAACTGAATACGGCAGTAGTGCTCCGAGAATATTCGGATTGGATGATTACTTCCTCGTTGAAAGTGAACAATTTATTGCCGACGCCTCCGGTCGTCGAGTGAAAACGAGGGTACGAAAGAATAATGATTTTTTACTTTTTGGATCTCCGTTTTTCATTGCATTCGGAATTTCACAGGTCATGAAATATGAGTACGATGCTGATATGGAAGAAAATTACCGACAGAGTTTGATTAAGGTTTTCAAAAAGACGATCGATGATGGGCATTTTTCGTTCATCATTGTTGATAGCATCCATGACAAAGTCCGACATTTCGAAGAGATGGCGAGTTATGCTCAGTTGAAAGGGTTCCAGGTATGTTCATTTTTCTAATCGGTCGTCAGATTTCCCTGCCCCTCTGATCCCAACAATTTTTGTACATGTCAAAGGAATTCTTATTCGTCCGGAATGTTATTTTAGCATTTATCCAGTTGTATGCCTTCATTCAATTTATCCCCTCTAGATATATGTTATTGAAATGTATGCGGATGCTGAAGTGTGTCACCAACGGAACCTGCATGATCGAACTTTGAAAGAAATCGAAGATATGTTGAATGGTTGGGAAGTGACGCCCACAACCTACAATGTTCTTGGGATTGAGCGGTTGTTCCAGGATCCGATAGAAGAGGTATTTTGCCGGAATTCTCGGTATATTTTACTTGTATTTGTGTAAGACAATCAGTATTATTTTATTAAGGTTGAAATGAAAGATGAGATGGAGGAGATTCCTGAAGCTCCAACTGGACGCCAACTTGAGGAAGACTTCGACGAGGTTAGTGGACGATTTTATTTTCAACTTAGTGAATGATCGAAATGTGGGGATCGTTCGGGGATCGATGTTCACTCTTGTTCGGCAAGAATTTGTAAAAAGTCGAATGTATAGGCCGGTCGCAATCGTCGAAAGCCAACAGAGCGAAAGTTGGAAGTTGGAGGGATTCTTTTCAGGTTTATTCATGAAGCGAATCATATTGCCTCAGAATGGAATGCAAAGTCCACCTATCCAAAAGTCTAAATATTCCTGAAGTGAGTTATCTGGTGCTTGAATAGAGCTTCAAAAGTCAGTCCATTGAAAAGTCATTTAGCCAGACGTGAACGGATTTTGCACGCTTCGTCGCGAAACTTTCGTTTTCGTCGGAGTTTGTTGAACAAAATCGCGTTGAATATACAGTATCAATCCATTCCGTGCAATCATTTTTCTGGACGTCGATTTCTTCTTGACTTCTCGAACATGAACAACATTTAGGGAGAATCCTCTGGCAGCTACGTTATGAGCAAATGGGAAAAAATGGAAATGTCTGACGAAACACTTGGTGAGTTACTTGTATTTTGGGGTGGAAACGCGATTATATCGTGGAGATCATTCTTTAGACAAGCTGGATTGTATGCGGATGAAAAAGAAAAATGAAGAAATTGATACTGCTGAGGAATGGTTGAAAATGCACGCTGACGATAGAGGATCTGACAAGCAAGTCAAGCGGGTGAGGGTTTCGTTATTTTCCTTGTACGGTCTGATTGTGGTGCGGTCGAGATAAATCGTTCAAATCTCCTGTGTATAATGAACCTTGAAATGAGGTTTTTTGGCACCCAAGTTTTTATGTCGGTATTTTTCAAATAACTGTTGGATCTATAAACTAAGGCGAAAATTACTGTACTGTGTAAGAGAACGATTTTCCTCCTGTTTTTGTAAAGGTTCGATGGAAGGACATCGAGACAATAACGGAGCAGACCCGCATGCGAGAAATCGGCTTTGTAGTTGGGCAGAATAATTGGCAAGATTTGAACGATCCTGGATTTGCCAAGTCTGCCTTGGTTCAAGTCAAGTATTTTGACCGAGATTCTTGATATGTGTACGTGTTATTCCCATTTGCGAGTTATGCTTATTTTCTGAGCTGCCTCATAGTTTTCCTCTTGAGAAAATACTGTGTTTGTCCACAACAGCGTGAAGCAGTTCAAGGGTCTTCATGCTATTGAGTAGTGTCATGTTCACAAAATGTAGCTGAAAGAGCAGGAACCTTGTTCTATTTCGAGATCGTCGACATCTGCGTTTATATTTCCGTCGTGTGTCTGATTGTAATTTCCTGTCGCGTCGGATCAAATTAAAAGCACATTCATCAAACAAGAAAGAACCGCGTGTTGATTCACCGGATCAGTAGGGGGAGTTTTTTCTCGATAATGTTTATGAGCCGATCACTGACCCGAGTTATTTCGGAGAATTCGTGATCTGAACATGGGCGTGCTATAATGCTACAATCGCCCGACTTCTTTCCTGTGGCCACTGCGTTTTCATTGGCTTCCATCTCTTCCTTGTTGCGGGACATGAACTCGTCCGTTGCTCGACTGTGGATCAATTCAAGGTCAGTGCGTTTCAGTACTTATTAGAATAAACAAATAAAATTATTTATATTTACTGGTTTATCGCGGGCCTCCGTTTTAAGCATAACTTTGTTACTAATCGGGGGAAATTTAAACCTTGAATTCCGGCGAAGAAAGGAAAGAAGAAGAATAAAGTACTCCAATTACATTCGTGGATGACGCAAACCTGCGCGTTCTTTTTGCCGAAATTCGTAGGAAATTGCGCCTGGTACAGGCATGTGAATGAGGTGCAGTATTTTTCTTCCTGTTATTTTCGTCATCCCTCCAAATTGTATTTGCACTGTATCTAAATTTGCCGTGGATCATGGGTGAAAACTCGAATAGGTTCAAATATTTTTCGGTTTTTCTGCATTTTTGCATTGATTTCGTCGTTTTAATTACTTTATATGCTACTGTATATCCATACTGTATATTTCTTTTTCAGGATGTATTTAACTTACTTGAGTAGAGCCGAGGTGAGTTTTGCGGCTGCATTCGAGTGGCGGTTCAAGCTGGAGGTCACTTGACAAACAGTTCGCTGAATGCAAGTCTCATTGCGTCCCACCCTGGGATCGACAAAGTATGCAATGGCAAGTGGCACAGCAGCCTTTGCTGTGTCGCGTGCCCAAGTCGACAAATCCAGGTTGGCTGTCAATAGCTCTTCATCGAGCATTAGATGATCTAAACTCCTTTTTCTTCTGCCTGTTGTGGTCAGCAATGTCTACACAGTGTAGGAGCACGTTTTTTTGTTTTAATAAGAAAAAGGGTTGTTGGAGAATTTTCAACAGCACAATACCTGAATTTGCTGGAGGAAGAAGAGAAATGCCAGGAGTGCCAATGCTCTTAGAGCTGGCGAATTTGAGTATCCGAATGATCTGTTGAAATGATTCAAGAAAATCGAGTTTTCAGGTTCATGCATGCCAAGCACAGATGGAGGTAAACTAATGAGGGTTTCCCCTTTATTTCATGCGGAAAATACGTTTGAAAAGATATAGAATATTGGTGAAAATCAGTAATGATCACATTGGTCTTCTGAAAAAAATCATGAAATTCCCTTCTCTCGCTTTTAGCATCATTGAACGATTCATGGAAAACGAGCGTTTACTTTTGGTTGGATTGTTTTTTCTTCTTCTTTTTTTGAAGTTTCGAGCCCACAATTTTGCCCATCATAATTAGGATTATGTCAATTTCGGCTGCTTTTTATTTTTGCTAGTGATTGACGAGAAAAATCACTGTTCTGAAGTGAGTTCACGCACTTCTTAATTCAAGGAACTTAATTAAGAAACCCACTTCTTAATTCAAGGAAGCGGATTTTCAAAATGAAAGAGGGTTTTTTATGCTCAATGTTCGTTTCATTGAGTCTGTGAAGATTGTGTCTTTCCTGTTACCATGTTCTTGAATGCCAAGTATGCTGTAAGCCTTTTGTTTGAACGGATTGAACAGGAAAGATTGCGCGGAAAGTAATCTGCGCAATACACGGAAAGATATGATCAATCGTATCATTTTCTTGCATTTATAAATTTGATCTTTTCCTCTGGAACTGTTCAAAAACAAAAGTATAGAGGCGACCAAGGGTCAAATTATTGCGTGCTATTAGGCGGTTTTAGCAGAATCTTTTCACTTTTTTCTTTTCCTCTAGAAGGAAAAGCGTTCTTTGAATAAGTTGTTTCCTCATTTTTTTCCGTGCTGTGTGCGAGTTATCCCATTTTGAATTCACAAGCATGAATTACAAGTGTGAAGTAAAGGTGCGTGAGTAGCGAATTAGACCGCGAAAAGGGGTCATATCGCTACGTTTCAAATGCAATGTTTCATCACCCGAATGACGACGAAGCCGAAGCTTGCAAGTCGTCTTTGGCATAGCGTCGAAAGCCTGGATTTTTGACACCAATGCCAGCTCCAGCGTATCTCCGGTTCCCTGCCCCGAAGCCCGGATTCGGCATCCCTGTCGCCGCTGCTTGTCCCGTTACTGCAGCCAATTGTCGATATGCCGCATTGACGCCTTGAGAAAAAAAAAATCGAAAACCGCGTTGTTTATAGATGCTTATTCGAAAAGTAGAAGATGTGATGTTCTGGGGAACTCGGTGGATTCTTTTCTCTATTGCGGAAGCTAGGTCTTCGGTTTGTTGATTTTTCTTTTTGGAATTTAGAGGTTGGAGACATCAAGCTCTTGTTCAAGAAGTCGTGACATCAATCTGTGTTTTACTCTATGTATTAATTATTCTTCTCGCAACACAATTGCGTCCCTAGAGTTCTGCGGTTTGTTGACTTTTTGTTTTTGAATGTTGAAAACATTCAAGTGACACCAGATCAGCAATATTTTGAGTTCATGTGGGCGTTTCTTTGAAGAAGGTTACAGAATTACTGATGTTTCTCCGAAAAGAGGAAGACTTTTCAAAACTCAGTGTATTACTTTATTAATGTTTTCCACTGCAGCACTGCGAATTTTGAATTATATGTGTTGGTGAGTTCTATTTTTTCTAAACCAGGAAGAGGTGAGTGTTCATCCCAGCAATTTCAGCGATGGCTTGAACAGGGACGTGTAGTAGAATTTTGAATGTGTTGAAAACTCGGAAATTTTTCTGGAGATGTTCATCTTCCGATTTATTTTCCGATTTGCTCATGTCTGGAGGAAGTGTTGACTTTTTTTTTTACTGGAGCCAATTGACAAGCTTTTTAGTGTAGGAAGTGAGAGTATTATGGTCTTCAAAATTGTATGATTCATGTCTGGGGCTCGCTCTGATTCTGTCTATGAGGTGGGATTATACTTATTGATTTCTGAATATTATTGACGATTGTTTCTTCTCAGTTCACTCAAAAAGAGGGGGGAGATGGGTGCGCCACCCAAGGAAAGGCGCACCTTGTTGCGGGCACAACGGGATTTTCCCAATGCGTGGTAACTGGATTACCGCATTGCGGTAATCGAGTCGCGCAGAAATTAGAAGAAGGAAAATTAAGATATTATTGATAGCTTGGTGTGGAGAACCGATGGTCTGTGTGTTTTCCTACAGGAATGGTCTCAGGTTTTCTGTGATCGAGATTTTGATGAACTGTATGCTTTTTTCTGGGGAAAATCTTTTTGGGTGATTTTTGCTTCTGCCACTTTCCCTTTCCTGTTCCCTTCGAAGTTCAATATATTCTTTTTTGGGTCTCCTATAAGGAGAACCCAGCCACACAATAGCTGATTGTAGATGATTCCTTTATTCCTACACTTATTTTAGCTCGTTGTCGGGTTCGGCCCCCGCAAGATCCAGATTTCGCATGATGAATCCAGGAACTTCGAAGAATTAAACTTTTTTAGGATTACAGTTTAAGTATTCATATAACTTTTCTTGCTATAGGAAAACCCCATTTTTCCGCATATTTCAGGTGCATCATTTGTCAAATATAAATTAAATTTGGACTAATCCTTGGGAAACTTGAAAGTAATCTTGTCACGCATGATTTTCAAGATCCGAAAGCGGATTTTGATGTTCACGCCTTGATTGTACACGTAGAGGTTCGAGCAGATCGTGTCCTCGTGTTGTAATAGGCTCGGTAGATACAGCATTCCTTTCTTTGCAGGATTTCTGATGAAAATCGTAGTGAATTCTGAAATAGAAGTGTACAAACTCACCATTGCCAGCGTAGAAATCGGCTGCGTGATTTCCTTGTAGTATTCCGATTAGTAACACTATTTCCGTGGTGACCAAAGTCAACCACGCCATCACTGTTCCCTTCTGCCGCGGAAAATGATAAGAACCCGGGTTCTACTTGAAAATTAGTTCGGAAGGAGTGCGTAGACTGGAATACGCTTTTGAAAATTTGACGAATAACCGTGGTTTAATCTTATGCATTAATTCCGCATTTTCTGTATAATTTTAGAGTGAGATGCAAATTTTTAGGTGCAAGTGCCTCGCATCGCACCAACAAGTTTTGTTATGTGAAACCTTGATCTTCCATTTTTCCTGCCTGAAAAATGTTCTGTTACAAATTTGTTGTACGGTTTTTTTTTCGTGTAGGGACTTGGGACTCACTGTACAGTATTCCCAAAACTTGAATTTCACTGGTTTATGAGAAATATGAACATGTCATTATGAATTTTTTGGTGTCAAATTGTGATATTGAGTTACAGAAAGAATGAAGAAAAGTCGAGACCTCATCCAGGTTATCCAGTCAATGCTAAGTATCTTATGCCTCGGAAAAAGGATAATTTTTGGCTTTCTTTGGACTGGGGTTCATGGCTATAATGTTGGAAATAAGTGGCGTCCCCGCAAGACAGTAATTATTTTCTGTACAATTAAAGAAGAATACTGTATGGAAATTATTATTATCTGAAGAAAAATTGCCGTTATCTGCATTTGCCAGATTATTGCTGAATACTGCCCCGGGCAAGAAGAAAGGCTTTTTCTCCATCAACAGACAAAACGGCGCATTCTACGTTTTTGTCACAATGTCGTCAGGCTTTTCCTTGTTTTTGCACAAACTTAAATGAGTCTTTGACCACTCGCCGCGCGCCGAAGATATTCACTTTTTCTGGTTTTATTGGTTGGGGAATCGGAGTGTGTTCACATTTTAACAAAAAAAGCAATGTTCACGTGTGGCACAACAACTTTTGAGATACATTCGCTAGTTTCTTGCATTGCACTTGTGATGCCGCGGAGGGCGTATGAGGAACTGACACAATCCGTTGCACAATGCCTGACTAGGAAACTCAGCTAATCTTTTTCAGGGGTTGGTTTTCGCGGCCGGCCGAGGAAATTAGACCGTAACGATATGCGCCTTTGGGCAGCAGGGATATCGAGTCTCTTAATTCTTGCGAGGGCAGCGGTCCGGAAAGCCTCCATGTGTCAGCTTCCTCGTGTGGCTGAAATTCAAGTGGGGGCAAGCAAGTGATCCTTGGGGCAAAACAACTAGATTCAATTCTAAAACTTGAAGGAAAAAATCCCACCAGCAGACAAATGTCTTCTTCAGCTCTGAAAGTACAGCGGGATTAAGTTTTGCGTGGGCAGTTATATTTTATGTAAATTGCTTCCTGAGATCCGTGAAGTTTGGATGAATTGTAAAGTCAAACTGAAACAAGGAATCAAATGTGGTAAAAGTCGTCAGACACGGATGTGAGATTCACGTCAAATTGATTTTTTTAATTAAAGATGGTGCGTATACGTTGCCTGTACAGCGAGTCCGTATTATACATAGCGAAAGACCTTCGCAACCAAAAAATTCCCATAATATTTTTATGGGAAATTGACTGACGCAAATCATATTCTTTCATTTAAAAGTTGTTGGCCCAATAATTCTAAAATTTCAAAAGGTTTTCGACTAAAACTCTGTAATTTTTTTGAAATTAGAAAACAAGAGAGGCATTCACTTTTGTATATTCCTGCGGTATAAAGAATTTGAAATTCAGAAATATCAAGGCCCAAATTCATCTGGATTATAGTACAGTAAAGTACTTGAATTTCATCCCAATACATTTTTAATTCTCTATTTAACGCAGAAAAATAGGAAGAAAATACAGTTTTAATGGTTCTTCTGGTGAGTGTCTGCTGGAAACCGATTGAATAATTTACTGTGCAACCTTGAGGGACATTGCGTTTTGCATTGCACAAATCCTGCAGAATAAAATACATGCAGGAACCCATTCATTTTTTAAGCATCCAGACTTTTTGTGGAGGTCTCAACATGAAAACAAATAATGGGTGCAAATGCGTAGTATGAAGTTTTGTGCAGTGTAAGGGAAACATTTTCAGCATGAATATCGCGAGGAACCCTTCCATATGCTGCGCAATATGCCCGAGCTTATTCAAGAAATGTGCTTTTTGAGCATAGTAATGTTTGATTTGCATTGAAGAACCAAAAACGGATTTCGCAGTTGAGCACCATGTTCGTTTGTGATAGGAATAAAAGCACTCTTTCTTCCCTATTCTACGTTGAAGCTGAAAAATAATGTTTAAGTCATATAAATATAATGAACAAAGAACTGCTGCAAAATTATAATTGGTGGCAAAGTCCAAGAGCTTGGATTGAAACACGTTGATTTCGAATCCACCAGTATGTTGTGGTCTTACCTGCTACACTGACGTCACGCCTCGAAGGTGGTGACCGAAAATTGCACTGACTTCATTTCGGCAAGGGGGGGGGGGGGGCAGGAACTTCTTCAGGGCTTGTGGTTATTCGTGCCAAGTGTTCGTTTTCTGTTGATGGATTTCCTGACACATGCTGAGGCGTTGCGGCCTGATTGCTTGTTTATTGGCGGAGCGGGATGTCACCGGAAGAGAAGCCGATAATTTTTTCTATGAACTGCGCTGATTTATTCCAGATTGTTTTTTTCCTTCCGAGTACTGTAGTAATTCACTCGAATATACTCAAAAAAAATGCACGGATGAACATTTTTTACAACTTTTACCCTATCAATAAACATTCGGGTTGATCAATGATCCGCATCATTCTGAGAACATTTCCATTATTCGTTGTGGGATAAACTGCAACATGTACTTGAAGGTGTCGATTTCAATACTGTACTTTACTACCAAACATCTTGGATATTCGTCGGAAAGTCGTATTTGAACTTCGGGACAAACTTGGAACCTGCGTGGTTCTCTCAAGATTATGCAGTATAATAAACAAATAAATTAATTCCAGAAAATCGTGCCAAACCCCGATAATAAACAGCAATAACTGCATTTTATTCCTGGTTATCTGCATACATTTGTGAATTTAGAATTGATGATTGTATAAAATAAGTAATACTGAGATGACTGACACATTCATGTCCTATTAACTTTCTGAATTCCACGAATTTCAAAAGCAAGAACAGAACTACACCCTATTCTTTCATGATGTTCGCCAATTATTGTATGTTTAAACAAATTTCAAACTAAAACTTGCCAAAATTTGATTTTTTCCAGCAGAACAATTTCGTCATGTGAATTTAATTATGTGAATTTTTTCTCCCGAAGACTTTTCGTACAATAATATATTAGAATTTTTCGTGGTGTGAGTTTGTCATTGTAGGGGGACTCACTGTAAAGTGTGCACTCAATAAATTAAAATATTTTCCCCAGTAGTTGCCGCTACGTTATTTTCTCTAAACTAAATGGAAATCCACAGTTGGAATTCTAGGGCGAATGATTGCTGCAGTCGTGAGCTTTTTCGTCCGTAAAATAATTCCTCGTTAAGAAATGTGATGCATTTATGCGATTACCGGTGGATTCCAGGTATTCTGGGGTGATTATATTGATGCACTACTTAATTTAACCGTTGCGCCCGGGTGCAATTACTTTTTTTAATTCTGTGCTTCTGACGTTTCGTTTTTATATTATTAAAAACCGAAATTTTTCTCCGGTAGACGTCTGTCACGAAAAAGTGGTTCAAGTATGTATTGAATTTTATTTTCAGGCGTGGGTGAACGAGGTGATTTCGAACTATCGTACGGACGACAGGACGTCAAAAGATGGCGACACAGGAAGAACTGACGTTGTGTGACAATAATCGTGTGCAAAATTTCCAAAGAATTTGAAGTGTTCGTCGCAATGGTGAGCTGGTTTTGAGAAGATCCGTGACAAAGATTAAGAATTTGTTGTTTTCTTTTACTTTGTTGTACTGACTTATCTCTTGATTATATCGTGTTGGGATAATTTGGAAGAAAGTATGACTCTATTTCGTGGTTTCATTTGAATGTCAAAAAGGACTCTCGTTGGGTATTAAACAAATCGTTTTGATTTCATTCACTATCAAATTCAATTCCTTGCTTAAAGATGATATTTTCAACTTTCTACATGTTTCGATCTAGTTCTGAAAGACCGGAATCGAATTGAGTTAATTTTCGCTTTGTATTGTATGTGTCGTCGCGCAGTTTTGATTTCGGGCTGCATGAAATCAGCGATATTTGTTTAGTCCGAAGTCGTTGTGGTGATTTTGGATAAGAAGTACAAGTGTTCAGAGCGGCCTGATGATTTTTTTTTAATTATCGGAATGTGATGAATGATTGTTGTGGAATGCGTCGATTCCCAAATCTGAGCATTTATTCCGGAATTAAATCCACAGGGTCCAAAAAAGCAGCATTTTTTTGCGTAGATTTCAATTGGTCCAGTTTTGATTGTTTGAATAAGAAATCGCGGGTTGATGGTCAGATTCTCTGCGTCACGCTGATGTGGCGATTTTCTCGGCATTTCACGACGACGTCACGATCATTGGGTCAACGCCAAGTTGTTCAGCCAGGCCTTTGCACATGTCCAGAACCTTTTGTGGGTACAGGATCCCGCCCCTGCCTTCAGTGGCTGCGATTTTTTGCCACTCGGGCTCCCCTGGGATTAGGATTGGTTTAGAAGGTCCTTCTGCCGAGTCCAGTCCCTTGATGGTGTGCAGCAATTCGCTGAGGTCTCCGTCAAAGTTCGGGTTGAAGCGCTTTGGATCCAGTGCCATGAAAGAGTGACAATAGTTCCCGATGCCTTCTCCAGACATCCATTTCTTTGCCTTGGGTCCAAAAGTTCCACCAGCGAGTACACCGCATAGGATGTCCACCTATATGTAGTATCAGGATAAATAATTTTTTTGTCTAAAGGTTTGGTTCTTATAAACCCGTGGAAATATCAGAAATGTCAAGGCAGCTCTCTGAACAATCCATTTACGGTATGCACTCCACCATGACAAAAATCATGAGTTCAACTATTTACATTTGGTCTTTGGTATTTTTTTCCCATGCCAGAAATCAAGTTCTGTTTGTACTGTATATAAATTCCTTCTTCCTCACCATGAGGCCGAGTCCGTATCCCTTGTACCCGCTCGTTTGTTCCGCACCTCCGAGCGGCATCAAGAAGCCTCCATTGATGACCTTATCCGGGTCAGTCGTTGAATTCCCGTCCTTGTCCATGCCCCAGCCCTCGGGGATCTTCTCTCCCTTCCTGGACTGCACCTCGACCTTCCCGATAGCCACAGCGGACGTGGCCATGTCCAACAAAAACTTGTTGCCTTCTCCTTCTCCCTGCACACCCACTGCGATCGGGTTCGTGCTGAGGGCGGCCTTTTTAGCCCTCGTGGGCACCACGAACGGGGATCCGTTCGTCATGGACCATCCCAGCAGCCCGGACTCCATCGCCATTTCCGTGTAGAAGCCGGCGATGCCGAAGTGGTTCGAGTGTTTGGCAGCGACCCAAGCGACGCCCGTTTCCTTGGCCTTTTTGATGGCGAGTTCCATGCAGAACTTGCCGGTGACGGAGCCCAGGCCGTTGTTGCCGTTGACGTGGGCTGTTGAGGCCGTCTCGTGGAGGACGGTGGGGACGGCGTTGCCGTCGCACAAATTGCCCTTCACGTCGTTCACGTACAGACCCAGGCGGTTGATGCCGTGGCTGAAGTGACCTCTGATGTGCAGAAGGAGAAATGCGATACTGAGGTAAATTCTCAATGCTTACGCAAATCGCGGTATACAGTAGTGTAAGGGACCATACGAGGGTTGTCCCACTTGGACGCGACCTTGATCATTTCTATAGTAGCAATGACTGTAAAAGAAGAAACTGTTACTGTATATAGTAGCCCAGTGTTCCTCAACCTGTTTGGGTCCGCGGACTGGCAAAGTTCCATGAAAAATTTTTGAAGACCAGCAAATTTCCACAAAAAAATTTTGCAGACCAGCAAAGTTTCATAGAATTGTTGCAGACTCGAAATTTTTTTTTTTGAAAGACTATGGTAGGTATTTAAATTTTCTGCTTTTTGTAAAAATTAAGTTAAGAATCAATGAAGCAGCTATAGTGGCATGTATCACAAAATTGGAAACACGGGCTTGAAGAAAGTTTTCTCAGAATGAAAAATTTAAATAATTTGCGTGCACCATTTTCCCCGAGGCTTGATCGCTTTTCATTTTAATAATCTTTAGCATAAGCATAGTTTTTTAATTTTTTTAATCTCTGTGGCCTATCCTCGATAAATATCTCAATTCTCAAGCATAGCCCGCGCTCGAAAGTTCTCCGACGCATTTTAATTGAAAAACAAATAGCTTTCTATATACTGTATTTGCGTATTTATACCACGACAGTATTTATTTTTGTTTCTTCGTTCTCTCTCGACAAGACAAATAATCCATTCTGTTTTCAGACCCACACGATTCCCGGGAAAGCTAAAATATTTACTCCTGCTTGAAAAAAGTTTGGCGTAAGTCAGATGCATCCTCGGACACTTTGACAAGCAGTAAAATGAAGCAAATGCTTCTCGTTCGTGTTGAGAAACATGCGAGGAAAGCGTGTTCGCAGCTGTCCATGAAAACAAGTGAATTTCGCAGATTCTCCCTCACAGAAAATGTCGGATATTTACAGAAAAAATCTTGTTCTAGGATGTTCTTAGTTGTCGTAATTCTGTACAGTATTTATGAGCCACTTAAAGAATCTAAATTTAAATATGTATAGAATGAATGAGAAATCAAACGTGTGGGTTTTCAGTGAATGAAGGCGCACGAGGGAAAGCGCTAGCTTTCGTAGATTCTGATATTCAAGGTCGTCATTTGAGGGTTAAGAAACATTTATGAATGTCTTCCGCTTCAGGATGGCCATGAGACGCATATTTTTATGTAAATTTTGGGTTTCGAGTCGAAATTTCGTTCATGGAATCATACAGCTTTCAGTGGCCAACGAAATCGGCATTTCAAAAATAGGATATCCCCCGCGAAGGTAAAACAACAATCGAACTCTAAAAATAGTTTACGATTATGCCGTATCCAGGCAGCTTTCAATCTGCTTCAAACTATTTCACATGTACGAAAGAAGGGATAATCACGAGTAATTAAGCCTGTCCCTCCGGCATCATGTTTACTGTGCGTGTACCGTATGTAAGATTCTAGCAGTAGCTTTAACCCATATTATTTTCTTCCTGTTCCAGCATAACTTTCCCGTGTGCTCATGTTTACATCAAGAGCCAGTCTTGCGAAAGAGGATGTAATACAGTACTGTACTGAATTAACTTCACCTCGAATCTCCCGCTAGTAAAACATCCGCGTGCAGACGAGCGTGTTCTTCTTTCGTACCAACAGCCATCAGACATCTGGCGACGAAGTCCTTGGAGTCTTGCACCCGAACAAGACACGAACCGTCGCTCATTGCCATTTTTTATGGAGCACTAATCGTCTTTTTGATTGTTCACTGCTATAGTACGTCAGCGAAAACCAAATTATTTCATGTTGAACGGTACCAGCACTTATTCGGTGAGAGGAGAAAATTACCCCGGACGAAATGCGAAGAGAAAAGTACCCGTGATCAGTTCGTTTATACTGGGTCAGGCCAGCGTTCAATTTATTGACTTTTCCTTAAAATGACCTAATGCGCGTTGAAATATAAAATATTGTTATTCTGAAGCACATTATCACAGTAATTTGTCGTGCCGAACTCACGTTAACAATCGTTGAAACAATATCTAACAAAAAAATTCGAATCTTTTTCTATTGCTCGTATTTCGTATGGTTTGGGGAGTTCATTAAAATACGAAGAGAAAAGTGCACGCGATTAGTTGGTTTACACTTGAACAGTATTCAAGTTATTGATTTTTTTAAGATGACCCAATGCGAGTTAAAATGTTAAAAAATGTATATATTGTTATTCTGAAACACATTACAGTATTTCATCCTGCCGAACTGAATAATTGGAATTTTTGCAACAATGTCTAAAAAGATTTTCCGAATCTCTTCCTGTTTTTATGTCGCATGGTTTCAAGAGTTCACTAGATCTAACTTTTTTTCACGTCAGGAATGAACTTCATGCATTAACATCTAGTGAATAATTATGAGTGACACGAAGCGTATTCAATATTCCACCGATTCAAAGTTACGAAAATCGCTTTTATCCCATATGACGTAATTCGGGCAATAAAAAGATGATTGGATGATTCAATTTTTATCCCATTTTAAATGTTCTTGACTCTCAATGAAGTATTGCGTGTTTCAGGTGAGATTAAATGGAAACTACTGTATATTATTCAGATCAGGTATGCCCATGGGTGTAATTTTTTTTACCTCGTAATTGGTCGAAAATTTCAGAAGTTCTGATAGAAATTTTTCATTTTGAGTAATCATATACTGTATCATTTACTGATAGTGAATTCCTCATGTGGAAAAATATTTGTTTCAATTCACTTCCAAATCCATGCAATGGTCCCGTAAACAAGGCAAGTTTCCAAGTAGACAATAACTACTGTGTATTTGTTCAAAACAATAGGTCATGGGTGCCTTTCTCCTCGTTCCATTTTTTTATGAACCAAAGCACTTCATTTTCTTTTTCGTCTGAGATTAATCACCAGGATAAGGGCACGCGTATGCGTGGGGGGATTTTGCTAATGAACCAGTTTACGAGTAATTTTCTCGCGGTAATTGAATTCAAAGCTCAAGAAATCTTTAGGATTTACTTGTATTTGCGTCTTGAGTCAGGAGACAAAAAATCACTTTCAATATTATCCCCGAAGCACCCGCGTGGCACTGCGTTTCTATCCGCATAACCTGTCCCTGAGGGCCTGAAGCACGCACAGACTACAGGGAGAAGACGATGGCCCAAGATTTATGTGTTTGCTTGTGTTTTTTTTTTCTCGTAACGCCTGTCCTTTTTCCATTGCTGTCTGTGGGCATGATTAGAGAATATGCATAGAAGCAGAGGCGCAACGCGAAGAATGAAATGGTGCATGACGTGGATGTACACGTTCAGAGGCCTGTGTGTAAATGGACTGCTGCAGAGGTTGTTGGATAACCCTGAGATTGGTGGTACTGGTCTGTTGTGTGACCGAAAGACTTGCTACCATGCAATTAAACGTTGGGTCTCCACATAGCACAAACTAATTCGATTGTCCTGGTAAGATTTCTGATGCAAAATATATAAACTTCCTGATTGTGAAAATTTAAAAAAAAAATGTCTTGACGAAAACAAACCCTCTGCCTAACCTTCAAAATTAGTGGGCAATTTTCAAGTATAAAATGCTTTAATATCTGTCAATAAATGTGCACAAATGCAAGAGAGGGACAAATTCCTGGCATTATGTAATTTTCACCGGAAGGCAAAAATTAACCTCTGAAAGTGCCTCGTACCTGGATTATGCCATACGTCTGGCACCTTCTTTTAGAATGTTTCTCTTGTCCTGGAAAATTTTTCAAAAGTAAAATTGATACCTCAAAGAAATTCATGCATGGAAAACTAATTTTTATCGCCGGATGAAATTCGTAAATTATAGAAAAATAAAATATATGGAACACCTAGAAGTTTCAAAACATAAAAAATTACCTACTCAAAGAAATGCAAAAAAGATTCTTGGCTATAACAAACCTTTTACATAACCTTCAAAATTGGTGAGCGTGTTATTATATGCTTTAAATGTGTGAATTTTTGCAAGAAAAGGTGCATCAATGCAACAGATGAAAAATTTTCTGGCATTGTTCAATTTTCACGAAGGAAGGCAAAAATTAGGCTCTAGAAGTGTTTAGTACGTTATGGTTTATGCCACTGTTCTTTGGTCTTCTTTTTGACTTGCCTGCTTAGGAAAAAAATTCAAAAAGTTTGTTTTGATGCCTCGCAGAAATTCATGGATAGAAATAAATTTGTTCATCCTGATTCAGCTTGTTATATAGATATTCATTGGAAAAATCAAAATTGTCTTAGCTAAAACAAATCCTCTTCTTCGCCTGCAATATGGTGATCAAGTTACAGCATAAAACGCTTGAATTTTTCCTAAGCAAAGGTGTCAAAATGGGAGAGATGGGAAAGTTCCTGGCATTATTCAATTTCCCCAGAGTCGAAAATAAGCCTCTGAAAGTGCTTAGTACATGGATTATGCCACTGGTCCGTGGTCTTTTTTTTAGAGTGTTCACCTTATTTTATAAAAAAAATTCAAGTATTTGAAGCATTACAGTAGGTGGCACCTTGCAATTTGACTGTCCCCGCAATTTAATGTCAAATTTGCAGGGAGGTTGACTTGCAATTCAACCTTTGCCCCACAATTTGACCTGCTTTGGACACTTTTGTGTGTGTTTTTTTTACTTATATTTTGAAATTACATGGAGTGTCTCGCAATGTGACCAATTTTCAAATCAACGCTAGTCTGGCAATGGACTAGGGTTGAATTGCAAGGTACCACTTTATTGTACCTTGCAGAAATGCATGCATTTTTGTACTAAAAATCATTTTAAAGGGAAAAAACTTGAAAATGTATGCAGAAAAAATATCACATGCAACACGTTCATTGCATGCATCATTCCGCTTGCTAGAAAAATCTGGCAAAAAGTTCAGAATGTGCCGAGATTTTTACTAAGCCAAGTGTCCCGAAACTCGGAACGTGAAAATGAGTGAAAATGTTTTCGTGAAGCTCTAGTATTTTTTATCGGAAGACTACATTCAACCAAATAAATAAATAGAACGTATTCTCTTTCGTTCGTCTGAGAGGAAAAAAAAACAACTTGACAGACGCTTATTCCCAATTCGTCACACACAAGAAACCCATTTTTTGTTCGGTGTGTCTCCCATAACAGAACTTATCTGAACAGTGGGAGAAACTTAAACTGATATACTGTACAGGGATCGGCGCCCTCCAGTCGCTCAAGGACTGTCGCCGTGTACCTCCCTTCGAATAAAGTTACCGCCCCTGTATTTGTTGCCAGGCAGGGATCAATACCACCTTGTATTGACTCTCGATTCATGCACAGTACATTGTACTGTATAATTGTCTTATGACGGTGCATCTTCAGGTCGAAATTTCACTTGGACGTTATTTGTGTTCCTTACATCGAATCGAAGCAATAAGTTGAGCTGATGAAATTATATGGTCGTCATCGTGATTTCGGAACAACGTGTTGACGAATTACGGTATCAGGAATGAAAATTCAGTACTGTATATATTACCTGCATGATGGGAGCCTTGATAAATAGAGAGAAATCCATTCGTTAACGCATACCAAGAGGCTTTCATTTCGAGGCATATTCCTTTTTCAAGGGCGTAGACGTAAACCGACGCAGAGGGCATTGAAACAGGTACAATAGAATTTTCACTGAATTGTTCTTAGCTTAATACTGTACTTCCGCGTATCCCACCCTCCTCTGCATTCCCCGAATAATGAGGCGATCCCCTTTGAGCTGTTTGCCATAATTTTGGTTGTTTGGTTTACAATGCAGTAATAATTAGTGTACAGTAATGTATGATATTGGATATGACGATATAAAGACAGGTCAATATTTCACTGAGGTCTTTTTGTGTTCCTCCGAAATTGAAGCAAGTTTAGCAAATGGACACGAGGGGTATCCCATAAGTTGGACGCGACCTCTGATACTTTCAGAGTACTGTATATAGGTGTGATTGTAAAAAAATAAATGATAAAAATACGTGATATGGCCCATTATTTTCTGAGGTTGTGGGATTTGTTTTATTTTAAAAAGTTTTTCAATTCACTGCATGATGGTAAGGGAAACTTTCCAGCTACAGTCAGAGTTTTCCACCCATGTCATGAAAGGATGCAAAAATGGTGTCATGCTAGCTAAAACTTTAATTTTTTGTTTAAGACATTAACTAAAATGTAGAAAAGAAAAGTGGTGAAACAAAAGAAAATTTCAATTTTTTGGGTGGCCTGACAATTTCTTTTAGCACTGTGATATGGGTGGAGAACTCTGGCTGTAACTGGAAAGTTTTCACTTATCATCCTGCAGTAAATTAACAACCTTTTTTAAATCCGAAAAAATCCCAGAACTTTAGAACATAAAGGGCTGCTAAATATGTCATTATTTTTTAATCACACATACTACAGAAATCTAACTATTCGCGTCCAACTGGGACAACCCTCATATGCGTTATGGATGCGCAAATATTATGCTCTTGGGATACGTTTTCCCGCGTATATATTTGGAAATTAATGTTTAGTACCGTTCAAAAATAATGAAGTTGTAAGTTCAAAAAACTGTTTCCGGTATTCTGAAACGGTTCAGTATTCGAATGAGTCCTCTAAAATGTCGAGTAGATGTCGCTTGACCAAACGTGGCTCAAATTTTGGCATTATTCACAGGTATACTGTCTACAGTATATAATGACACTGTTACATTTTTTGGAGCTGGTAATTGAATCGGGGAATGCTTTAAAAGATTTTTCCGAATATAGTATGTTTCGCGATGAATATTTTATGCACATTTAAACCGTGCATT